AAATACGAAAAGTTCAAAATAATCTAGGTCGTGCTTGACTACTTCATTGACTAATAAAATTATATCCGGCTGCGACTGCATTCACGTTTCCGATGGCGTCATGAGTCGGTAGGGTAACGTTAGCCAAAGAACCAACGCCGAACTGTCCATTCATCAGTACTTCCAAACCTAGGTCAATTTCCTCTCGTATACACAAAAAGTGAAAAATTTTGTGATACCTCCAAACAATTTGCCTAGTGCATACACTTTTTATAGTAGCCTTAAAAAGAGTAGAGCTGTGTTTAAAGAATAAGCTCAAGTTTTCTAAAAGACATAATCCCTTCCGTAGTCAAAGCGGCTCTTTTTCATTGAATCGAGCAATTTTTGGTGTCATTTGATGAGGAATCAATTACAAAACTCAATCAGTAAATCCCGTAAATCCTCAATTAGAGCGCACTTTGCGGATACCGAAAAATAAAGGATTTGCGGTAGCTCTCTAGGAAAGGATTACTTGGATTCTACAGTATTCAACAAAGACTCCCTGTTCGGTCCCAGAATTTAACATTTGTGTACATCTACTTTGTTATCTATTTGTGGTCGAGGCAAGACCTGGATTCAGCTTATTTTGCCACCTCTGTGTTTACAACCAGGAGTAGGGAAAGAGATCAGCCGAGTGCTTTCAGTACGAACTCAACAGCACCGAGTGTCGGCCGACTCCACTAACGAATAAAGATTTTGACGCTAAAAGTCCCCTTTATACTTTTATATTCTCTGCAATGCTCAAGCAGAAATAGCAACTACAATGGACAAAATTTACATGGAAACTTTACATGGAAACTTAAGCTTTAAAATACATTACAAATTCATAGAGAACAATATACAGCTTCTAGTTCAATCTAAGGAATAATATTGTGCATTATCCTACGTCATAAACCGCCTATACAAGTCCGCTTCCGCCGGGCACTGGTCGAACCATGGAGATTCTAAAACAATTTTGTAATATATAGTTTCCACAAGCATTAGAAAAACCATGCTAAAACATACTTAATATGGCTTATCCGATTACAGCAAACACGAAGCTCAACGACGTCCCCATTTGCTCTTTTAAGCGCGCGGACAGGACAGTAACCCTCGTCGGAGAGCAGTTTAACATCTTGGAATCCAGATAAGCTGTGCAAGAACCAAAAATTGAACAATTTTATCGGGCAAACTACCAATTGCTTTTCAATGTTTATCTAGGCTATCTAGACTAGAATAGTTAAGTCAATCTTGCAATGTTTTAAAACTGCATCCAAATTACTTTCAGCAGAATAAGAAAGTTAAGAGAGCTCACATTTTGACGTTCTGCTTCCCTGCCAACTGCTCGAAGGCCAATTTTATCAATTTGACGCTCTGAAGTGTACCAGCCTCGGATCATGGTTAAGATCCCATCAAGAGTACACCCGAAATTTGTTTGAAAATGACTGTAAAAAATCAAAGGAATTGAATCCAACAAGATCTAAACAATAAATATTATGCGGAGTAAGCGTCGTAACAAAAATTGTTCATTGACAGTTAAATCAAAACAAACCGTGTCATTTAATGGATCAATCATGGCATTCCCGTGACCAATCAGCCCAACTTCTTGCAATCCAATCGCATAATTATTGGTGAAAAAGTCTCTCGTAACAGGAAAAGTTTGGTTGTCCCCATACGCCTTAATCAGCCTAGTTTTGATCCGTTCCAATACATACTTACAGAAACAACTAGCTTGGTGTGCTGGTCTTATACTCGCGAAAAATATCCATGAATCTTTCCTGGCGAAAGAGTCGTTCCACTGACAAACAAAGACAATCCTTCGCATTTGAACTTGCAATTTGCAAACATTTCCCAATTGACATTCCGCTAAAAGACAGATTTTAAGTACCCACAAAATATGCGGAAAAACCAACCAATTCGAGGGTGTTAAAGGTTGCACGCTCTTTCAAATTATCCAATGTTGAGTTAAGTTAGCTGGTCAATCCTTTCCGCATATTGCAATCTCGATCATCTGCTCTATCGCTTATAAAAAGCCGAAACTAAACCCTATGTTTTTGTGACTAACACAACAATATCTTACCCAGTTCCCATCAACATAAAGCTTATCGATATAAACACGAGGAAGTCTGGCTCTGTGCAGCTCGACCCTTCTATAGCAATCCCTGGAGAGTTGTCGAACAGTGCTAAAGCAGAGATTACAAGTTAGAAGATGAAGGCTGCTAACTTTTCGATGACCCGTGCGGGAAGTTTCTCCATTACCGCAAGAAAACGACATCAGGAAGTACCTCAAGCAATATCCTATTGACAGAAGAGGTTGGCGTGTGCTAAAATAAGACTTGTACGAAAATCCACTGGAAAGCAATCACAAACTACATTATTTAAAACAATTATGGTAAAAGCCTCTTACATTCAGTTGCTTCTTCTTAAAGTTTTCCCATGATTTCCGAAGTACCTGTAGCTTTCTTCTTCTTGGCTGGCATTATCTTATCCATCGAAAACAAGAAGTGGAAGTCGTCCAACGTCAATGTATTCCCCTAAAACTTTATTACAAACTGCAAAGACAACAAACAAGAATTTTAACACTTACTTTTCAGTTCGTCCTGATAAGATTCCTGATACTAGCTTCAACTTGTTTTCCCGTAGCTGCACTACTCGTTCCTCAATCGTTCCCTCGCAGTAAAATCTAAAGCTAGTTGAATTTGATGCATTATTACCAGCAAAGTCACTTGTGAATTCCTGAACCGCGCTTCTGCCCGTGGCAATGAATTTTGGAGCAGGCTTGCTCTTCGAGTTGGAGATTCCAGTGCGGCTCGACGATAATCAGATTGGCGCCTACATCTACGGCATAAAAGAAAAAAATGCAACCAACAAGTCTGGATGTTCAACCCGGTGCCTCCCGAAGTGAGTGAAAGCAGGAGGACGGGCACCCTGCTCCTGCATCACAAACGCATTGATGACTTCGCCTTTCTTGGTCCCCATTGAGCGATCCGTCAAAGATAAGATATCGAATGTTGTCCTAAAGCTTGGGCATTGTACACGTAGACTAGAGTTTATTACCTCATTCAAATAAACGGCCAACAATCGCAGAACGCTCACGGGAATTGAACTGACGACAACGACGTTGTCTCCCTTCTTCACAATGTCGTTAATCAATGCCATAACCTTTTGCAACTAAATTTAAAATGAAATAGATCCCAAAGGAAAAGCACAAACTTTCTTGCTTCTCACGCTGGCGTCGAATAGGGGGGATTGTTCTCGTCCTTGATTAAAGAAATGTCGCCATCAATATCCTGGCTTCGTTTCGTTTGAGGGCCCAAGCACTCCATCGAAAGTCCATCGATAAAGCCTAAAGTGGAAGATGTTATGGTAAAGCGTTTGTTAGGCAAAATCCCACCAAACTACCTCTTTAGCCAGACAGAAGTGGATCGCGGTTTGTTGAAGTTGTAGATGCCGACCAGAATCCACATGCTATCATCATCTTTCCAATCTTTTCTTGTGAGGCTCTTTCAAAGACATCTGGAACATCTTGCGAACGCGTCGATCGTGGGAAAATGGCCGCTTTTTTCGTCCAAGAGTTGCTTCACCTAAAAGCAGAGCAGATTAAAACGCTACAATGTCTAAGATGGTTTGAAAATACCTTTTGTTGTGATGCTAGCACATTAGATCATAGGCTTTCGACTCGTCTCCCTCCAGATGCACACGATGTATATAGTTTGTTCGGTCTGGAAGTCGTAAGATTGGTTTATCATGATGCAGCAAAAGAATTGTTCCGATCAGTGTGTCCAAACGATTTTGAGTAGCAGCTAAAAGAATCTGTTGAAAGTAGCTTTTTGAGTGTTACGTGTTTCGTCGCTCATCTTCTCTTCCCAAAAGCCGGGATCAGCAAAGGGCATGATTCGAAGAAACCTGAAACAGCGTTATTAAAAGCAACCACAAGTAAAACATACCTCACTAGTGCATAGAAGTGTACTGGTGTCCCCGTCAGAGCCCATCGGCAATCAGCTTCGATATCCATCACAGCACTGTTGATTTGGAGTTGCCTAAACAGTCCTAGTTACACCAGGTAATTCATAAATTCATAACGAAAACCAACCAAGTTTTTGATTGTGTGGGCTTCGTCGAGTATAACCCGCTTCCAAAAGACTTTGCGAATAGCGGCATGTTCGTTGAAAACAAGCTTAATTAAAAGCATTACCGTAAAAAAGAATGGTTCTTATGGGTTATACATCCGCAACGACTCAACTGGGAATACACATCCGCGAATTTGCATATCAAACAAATTTCCGTAAATTGCAAAACATATTTGTTGCAAACCAAATAGGTTTATACAATTACATGTGAAACATACATCCACAAATTAGAGATCTGGATCTATTATATAATTCCAGTTGAGCCGCTGTGGCTGTATAACCCATGAGTACCAAAAGCGTTGGATACATACCTATTCCCTTGTGATTTCCTAATAACGTCGTTTCTCAAAATCTCGTAAGTCGTCAACACAACATCTGCCTGGCGTAACCTAAAAGCTTTTAAGATGAAGTTTGTCAAAAACGTACACTTTATCGTCCAAATTGTCCCGGCTCTTTTGGGGCCCGTGTGACAGTAAATCTTGAGTGGGTGATCTTCGTTAACCTAAAATTAACATACTTAATCTCGAAAAGACAAGTCACCTTGTCTTTCAGTTCTTGTTGCCATTGATTCAAAACCGAACCGGGAACGACCACCAAAGTTGAGAAAGTTCCCGTCATTTTTCTTCCAGAATCTTGACTAAAAGTAGAAATAAGTCAGCAAACTTTTACAAACATACATTGCTTTTGTTTACTAAACGCTTTTGATTTTCCTTGGCTATCTTGAGGAATTTCTTATTCTGTAATGCGATCAAAAACGAAGTGATGAGAGAAATCGCCGGTGTTGTTTTCCCAAGTCCCATCTCATCGGCTAGAAAGAAAAATATAACTATATACTGTATACTACGTTTATTAGTTACCCAAAATGCCTCCAGTGCTCGTTTCCTCCACGCCATTTCATCCAATTAAGACCGTACTGTTGATATGGAAGCAATTGCACACTCATCCACTCCGGTGTTTCGGCGAGATCTTTATTAGGAACAGGCATTGAATCGAGTTGGCTGAAAATAATAATAGAGCATGAACTAGATTAACGGTTTATACCTCTGAAGTGAGCGGAAATAGTGTGCTTCCCTTGTAGGGGACCTCTAAACACAAAATTTTATAAGGCATTATTGAAATCGGTATAAGTTTTGCGCAATTAACCTCGCTTGAACTTAATTAAGGTAAGTGTCTTTCTAAAACTTTTAAAAAAGTAAAAATCTGCTCACATTTTCCTTGTTGCTTTCCTTTGCCGAGTAGCAAATCTCCCCCTCATCGATGTCCTGTATCGACAACATGCTAAAGCTGGCGATTTCCTCGCCGCTCATTTCTAAAGTTAAATAATAAATTTATATATAGATCAAACTGAAATTTGAATCAAGAAAACAAAACCACGTTACATAAACAAAAAAAGCATTATTTCGAGGTCTATCATCTTATCCACTTGTTATCTACCGTACCAAATAGGATATTATCCAAGATATCCCCTTTAAGCCTACCGCTATCGGTTATCTACCGTACCGTTTCACCGGTTGCTTAACCTTAACTTAACATCATCCGATCCGGATACAGGGGAACCAAAAGAAATAGTTTTATGCAAGTATTTTTAGAAAGAATACCATATGAGAGCCCTTCACGAAGTCCAGAGACACTGTTCAGTTGCGTGTTTTTGACTGGGTATGCTTTTGGTGATCCTGGCTTTCCCGGCTCTTACTGGCCTTAAAAATAATTTTAATCATTTTGCAAAATTATAAAAAGCTTTGTCCGTGAGCGGCTTCGAACCAGGGAACAAAAATGCATAAGAGCACGCCCACACTAACCACTAGGCTATGAGCAAAAAAAGGCAAACGCCGGACTCCGAACCCTCGAGTCCTTGCCTCGATACCAAGCCTACTGCCACCCGGCCACTACGACATCTTTTCCGCTCTGGTAAGTCAACTTATAAACTGTTTTCTGCGATTCCATACAAAACTTTGAGCGCTTATAACTTTTGACAGAGTGCTGCGTTGCAAAAACGGAAGCAGATTCGGAATCACCGCAAAATTCTACGTCGGTTAGTATATGGCTCATGTTATTTGGCCACCACACCCTGTTGACATTCCCTTGTAAGTAAGAACCTTTGATCTATTTGTGCAGCCATTTTTGGAACCCTTTTCGTCATTTGATTCATTTAGTCGGCGATGATTTGCTCAAATGGAATTTTTTCTAGTTGTTTTCTAAAAGTTTTCCAAATCCGAAAGCTTTCAAAAATAGTTCTCCTTCAAAAAAGAACAGTTGGTAATCTTTTAGGAGATTGTGTGAAGATGAGGGATTTCATGTCAATCATTTCTCGACATCTAAACTTTTCTCGAACCAAAAATCGAGCTTTTTATCCAAACTTTTTATTGTAAAGATGATTGCAAGTATTATTTTGTTGAAAAACTTATTCACCACTGATTTTGAATCTTTCAACTTTTTGAAATATTTTGAATGTTTTATTTTCAGAGAGTCGAGTTTTACGAAGAAGTTTGAGCGTAACCCTAATCGAGTTTATGGGTCAAAACTCGCAAAAACGCGTGACCAATCAAAAGATTTCTTTCAGTTGAGTCAACTCAACAAAAAGGGATCTGTTAGTTATAAGTTGGGCTCTGATCTAGACTTTTAAAATCAAAATATCAATCAATTTGAGTATCATTAGGTTCACATAGAACAAGAAGTAAAAGTCCAGCAGCTCCCATTTTTGTAACCCGTTCTTGTCAATCTCATTCCACTCACGCACATCCGGTAGTTATTTCTTCTTCAAAAACTTCTCTAAACTATTTTAGATATTCTCGTATCCCCATAATTTTCGGGTTCCATATTCGGGAGTTTTCCCGTTCTCTAATCGTCGCGATTATCGTCTCTCTTCGAGCTCTCCCCTTATTTTTCTTTTGTTTCCACCCACCCACTCCTATTTTTGATTTTCTTTGTCGTCATCGCTGCTTTAATGCTACGAGATATAAATATTCTAGTTGACATGCGGTATCCAGTAGTTTTGAAGGACCTATTTTAGACATTAGTATAATGTAGGATTGATCTCGTAAGTAGCAATTGTCTTTATTGTTCGAGTTCTCTGTAGTGCGCGTTTGCGAAGTGAACTCCTCCTCTGATTGAGATTGACTACAAGACTACGAGTACTTTGTTCTTTCGAAAAATAAAAATACAGAACATTTGGCACATCCAATTGCTCATTCTGAATACATACTTGTTCGATAGACTCTGGGCCAAAGGAATTTACTTCGTAAACGTGCTCAATCTGGCGCACCACTGAGAACGCAGGATTTGCATCACTGCTCAATGTAGATAGCGGATAACTCTGATAGTCACTAAACATATAGTCTATTTTATTATTCTGTTAAAGGGAGATTGTATGTTAATGGTTTAAAACCTAAATTTATCCCCATTTTCGCCATAAATATTGGGGTGAAATGGGGATGGGAAATGGATTGAATGGGAGTTCAATGGAGAGTTGTTGTGTTGCTTATTACACTCATTGAAGAAAGAGAAAAGAAAGAGATAGACAAGGCAAGGAAAAGAAGACAGGTCAATCGGGGTCTCCTCTTTCACTCGGATTCCCCTTTTCCCTTTAGCTCTCCACCTTCATAGCTCATGACTTTTCTTATCCATTCTGACAATTTCGATCGTGATCTATTCTTTGTTAACCTCTTTGCTTATAGATTCAATTACTTAATAAGGAAGGACCAGATTACTTTCTTTAGATGACTAATCGAATAGTGCTTGGAATCGATGAAACTGTTAGATCATTCTGTAGAGAGACTTCGTATTATTAGATTGGTGAATAAGTCTTTTCGTTCCTCTTTGTACTTTTGTTTAAAACCAATACAACAAGTTTCATAGCAAAATTTTAGTTTTAACTTATAGATGTTCTAAGTACAATACCTAACAATGATCGTGGCCTTCCAAAATAAATCGAGCCAGCGTAGCTGAATTTTCCGGGCCATGTTAAAGCGCTCAAAATTAGGCTAATGCTGAAAAATGGCTATGAAATTGGCCCTGGATTCGTATTTTGAGGACAGCTTAATGAACAATTAAGCAAAGTGAACTATACCAACAATAAGTATTTCAAAACCTCCCACCCCATCCACCATCGTTTCCATAGATCAATGCCCATTGTCTCCCCTTTCCCCCTGACCCCTTCTTCCCTCCTTTATTCTTTTCCGGTCCATCTTCTGCTTATTTCATTTCTCCCTCGTCGTGACAACTAATGGCCAATTTGTTCTCTTTTTCCCATTCTTTCCTTTTTTGGCTTTCAGAATTCCCCCCGAACGCCCATTTTCCAGTTCAGTTCCTGCTTTTTGTTCGACTATTTCTATGAAATTTTTGCTTTTTTCGCCTTTTTCGCTTTTTTCGCTTTTTCTTTGCTTTGCACACATCATCAATGATTGTGAATAGTCAGCTGTGATTGCTAAAAAGTTGAGAAATGGGAAATCAAAGGGGAAAAAAAACCACTTGAGTAAGCAAATAGTAATTGAAAACAAGATGTCAAATATTGTCAAGTGATGTCAACTCTTTGGCAAAGTTTACAAGTTTGAAAAATCGTAGATTAAAAAATGTTTTGATCGACTGAAACGTTCCTATAAATTCACAGATCACAGTCCAAATCAGAAAGTTCATTTTTCGATTGATAAATTTGTAAATTTGTCTTAAATTTATGAATTTTCAGAGTGATTTTTGTATCTTATATTGACCGTTCGTTAATCTTTTAGGATAGATTTCAAGTTCAAAAGTTCCGTTAAGAAATTGGATCCTTGAAAGTCATGACCAGTTAGAGAAAGGGGTGACTGACTCTGAAATTGAACTCCTTTCTCAATCTGATCTGCTGATCTGCTGATCCATGAACAAAAAATCAAAATTTCTACTATTTATAGTTTTTCAGCTATTAGGCTGTCCAGAAAAACTAAAACATTTAGCCATCTGTACCATTGTTTAACCGACTTTCTGGACAGTCTAATCTACAGTCATGGACAAAAGTCTTTTAATGTTGGTTTTAAGAAGTTTGTTCTTTGTATATCTTGATCCAAATCCGACCAATTTGCAAACGGTTAAAGTTAAATTAAAATTAAAAGATTTAAAGAGCTTATTATATCTAATTTTAAGATTTAAGATATACAAAGAACAAACTTCTAGAAACCAACGTTAAAAGACTTTTGTCTATGACTGTATTTATAAGTTTTTCAACGATATCCTTTTCCCCATCTCCATCTTTTCCCATCTCCATCATTGCCTCAATGTTTCTCATTTATCTGTTCGTTGATTATCCATTAATCTCAGCTCAACAACTTCCTTGTTCTCAATTCTTTTTTTTTGTGTGAGCAATTAGTGTAAAAGATTTCTTCTCATTTTAAACCTACATTGAAACAAAATAATTTTAGAATCAATTAGAAAAATGGGCGAAACTTCCGACAGCAAAATCGATATCAAGGTTTGTTCAGATAAAAATACGGGGTCTAGTTTCTAGTATAAATTTGCCAAAAACAATTCAGCTAATAATATTGCAAAGCTTTTATTCATTTGATCCTCTTTAGGAATGTGACATGGGCGAATCGGAGCAGTTCATCTGTCTGGATATTGTGAAAACCGCTCAAAAACTCTACGAACTCGATAAAGTGAGTTAAAAATGTTCAAGAATATACTAGTTTTCTGCACTTTTTCAACAGAATTTTATCAAATTGACTACTTTTCAGGATGTGGCAGCTTTCTGTAAAGAGGAACTCGATAAACGTTTCGGTCCAACCTGGCATGTCATTGTGTGAGTTCCTAAACGTTTCTATACTCAAATTTGGGTAAACCATAGCTAGTTAGTGTCAATGTTGTATCACTTCAAATCCTAAAATGTTTCAAGAACTCTGAAAGCCGTTAGTTGTAGTTAAAGCTATAGTTATGGGTTAAGTGAAGCGCTTAAAGTCTAAAACGAAAGCCATCCCATATTGCTTGATGTTTTACTAAATAACAGTAGTGCTAAGTTTCTATTTAGAATAGAGACTAGAATTGAGCTAAAGTTAGGGACATAAGTTGTAGAGTAAAATATGAAACAGTAAGACTTTTAGGTTAACAAACTTAATTTTTGAGCTTAGGTTCTGAGCTTTTGAGCTTGTACCCATTGTTAAACCCTTTTACTTGCAAATCTCATCTTTTTTAACTTTAAAATTTAGTGGGAAAAGCTTTGGCTCAAGAGTGAGCTACGAGATGAACAATTTCATTCTCGTTAAATGCAATCGAGTCAACGTGATGCTTTTCAAATGTGGTTATTGAAGAAATGAGAAAAATGAGAATCGAGCTTATTTCTACGGTTTTTGTGCAGTTTATCTTTTCAAAAATATCTTCTTCATATCATTTCTTAATAAAACTAGTCATATTCTACAAATTTTCTTTGAAACGGGCCAATGTTTATAAGAAAAGTGTCTGCCTTTTTGCATTTGTGATTCCTCTCAGTGCCGAGTTTTTTTCATAAACAATTTGTTTTCTGAAAAAAGATTTACATAGAAAAGTACGCCAGAAAGGGTGTGTTTCTACCTTTTGAGCAGGTCAAGTGATTTTGAACGGATTTTGATCATGATCAATTTGTCAGCTGGCAAAAAATGATCGCTTGAGGGTCACATTACAGCTCGAACTTTGAACACTTTATCTTGACGACAAAAACACACAGACAGGGAACAATTGGGATATAAATAGAGATATTAAGTGAAATTGCTTTCAGTATAGAATCTAGCCAGAACTTTTAAAAAAGCCTAACTTACTCGAGTAAAAGCAGCTTTGCACGTTGCACAGGCTAAGCTCGAGCCAGCTTAGCCTGTGCAACGTGTGCAAATGTCGTTGATTGCAAAAAAATTTTATGCGAAAAAGGTGTGCAAATGTCGTAAAAAAAGGCGATCATGGGTGGGACCCGAATATTTTCTTCCATAAAAAAACGAAAGACAGGTGTAAATGAAATAGAAATCTTTAACTTTTTCAATTATAAAATTACAAAATTTAAGCATATCTGTCGCCAAACACATATTGATCAAATGTTTTTATTGTTTCAATGAGAAAAGATTGAATCAAACAAACTGACCTTCACCGGCTCTCTTCTCAAAAGTTCAGCACATGGCTAATCAGTCAGAGAAATAATGGTCACCAAACTTGATATTCATTCTAATGATTCAATGTGGACTTTGTCAGGTTTGGAGAAGATCACTTTTTTTACATCTTTTCATCTTTGTCGGTATTTGAAACAACGATCAATCTTTTCGAAATGTTTGTCATTCTTCGCCACTCGCCAAAGGAGATGAAAGAATATTCACATGGATTACTCAATTTACAAGTAGTGAAAAGCTTTGAAAATGAGGATCCTTGCATAGTATAGAGGATTTCTTCAAAAAAAAAACTAACTTTTTGGGCAGCGGCTTTAATTTGTGATCATGAGAGACACTGAGAGAACACACAAGTCTCTGGAAAGGTGGGAGCAAATATGGTTTCTTTCCTCTTTCCCAGATAAGCTTTTAAGAAAGACTTTCTGTGTTCTCTCGATGACTCAGGGAAGTGTAAACGCGGCCTATCTACCCCACAGCTTCCCAAGGGGTTATATAATCAAAAACTTTCCTTCGAAACATCGCCAAAAGGTCCGGCAATATCGGGTTATCACATGAAGAGGAACCCCCCGGTAGTACTCCTTGACCATTGGTTTTTGCTTCTTTTTCTTTTGTACATAAAAATTTTAGGTTAGTCAATAAGTCTATCCTTTATTTACAATTTTACCAAAGCGAAACCATAGATCTTTTTGATATTTTAGTATGATTATTAACAAAGAGATTGAAATTATTGTACAAAGATTTAAGTCAATCTGATCTGGACTTTGAGAAAGAGTCTTTGGAAATTGTGATAGAAAGAAGAATTTTTCCACTATAACCCAGCCATTGTAATGAAACTTTCTCAGGTAATAGGCAAAAATTCATTCTAGATCTATTCTAGGATATTTGATTGGTTATTTTGAAAGAGATAAGAAAGAAAACTTTGTCTTGAAGGAGATTTTGAGGAAATTAAAATCAAGTTATTACTGTTCTAAAGATTCCCCCTCAAAACCCAGCCATCAAGTTATTACTGTTCTAAAGATTCCTCCTCAAAACCTAGCGATCAAGTTATTACTGTTCTAAAGATTCCTCCTCAAAACCTAGCGATCAAGTTATTACTGTTCTAAAGATTCCCCCTCAAAACCCAGCCATCAAATTGGTGTTCCCCACACAAAGTCTATATGTGAGTCTTTTGTGGAAAATCCGTTTCTTTTTCTTTCTTAGACGAAAGCTTTATATAAAGGGGCACTCGTATTTTCTATGATCGGCCACACGCAAATGGCCACTCTATTCTTGTTCTTCGTAAGACTTCAATGACAAACAAAATTTGACAAGTGTAAATTCGAATTTGCTTATTCTATAATTGAAACTTTCAGTAATCACCCCTTTAACAATTCTTTGTTCCGCTCAACATGGAGTGGCCAACACGATTTCCGTTCTCTTTCTTTATAAACCCTATCGAGAATATTGCAAATCGAAAATCTTTTGCAGATTTTTGTAGTAAAGTTTTCCGTCAAGTATTACTGAAGTTAATAGTAAGATCTCATTGAAAGGAAAGTTAATAGTAAGTTAATAGTAAGATCTCATTGAAATACAATTAATTCCATGGTTTATTTGTTGATAATAAATGCATAATATTCAAAACTAGGCATCTAACAAACAAAAAAGATATAATAGCCGAAAAGGCGCAATTAGGGCATTGTTTAATTAAAGGTCGTTAATCTAAGTGATCAAATCAAGAAAGCGCTTGAAAAAAATCCCTCTTGAAAAAAAATGAGAATCCTGTTTTTTTTTAATTTTACCCTAGCGAAGAATCAAGGAGGCTTTGGGCAAATAAGTTTTTTTTGTTTTCCTCTTGGTTTTCTTCGGTGAAATTCATTAAACAGGCCAAAAAAGGGCCAAAAAGACCACTTTTGAGCGACTGACCTCAATTTCGATCACTTTTTGTGCACCCGAAAGTATAGCTAGAAGGAATTAAAGGTTTTGAGGAGTTTTCTGCTTTAGTTTTTTGAAAATGGGCACATAGAAAACTTTTAATAATCTCTGCATTAATTAAAAGTTGTTTATTGATTGTTGTTTATTGATTCAATGATCGAGTTTAGTAATCATAATAGGATGGTCTTATTGGGTTGCTTTTCTTTTCTCTTTGATACTCTAAATGTGCCATTTTTATTCTTTCAGAGGACATCTGACTTTATTGAATGAGGCTAATTGAGTGAACAACCGATCTAATCTCGTTCTCTTTTCTAATTTTCTAAAATTTTCACACCCTTTAGAACTAGTTTCATGAAATTATCTATTAAAAGAAATATCGCATCTTCTTTTGTGAGAAGTCGTTAGAAAAAGAATCATGAAACTGTTCTAAAGGGTGTTAAAATTTTTAGAAAATTAGAAAAGAGAACGAGATTAGATCGGTTGTTCACTCAATTAGCCTCATTCAATGAAGTTCAACAAAAATCAAGTCTGGGAAACTAGAAAAGTTTTCTCAATTCGATTCATTTTTGGTTTATCTTTTTAACACGAACTGTTATCACTTTATTTTTAACATTTTAAACACAAACTGGTGAAATGAAAAACATTTAAACTTGTTTTTCCAAAGGCACATAGAATGATCTCTCGAGAATGGCTTCACGATAAGTTTGGTCTCATTCAATTTGCTTACTACTCCACCCATTTTTTGAAATTTATGCAAACCTTTCGATTTCTTGATTTCAGTGGCGTTTTTGTTCTTAAAACCATAAACGAATTGGTATATTGATGCAGAAAGTTGAGTGTTTTCAACGATTTGGTCCCTGATCAATGCTACATGCATTTTTCTGATTTTGTCAAAAAGCGCCCCGACAGATGCGATATTTCTTTTAATAGATAATTTCTGGCTTGAAATTTAGAAATACTAATAACATTCAAAAGCTGGATTAAATTTTAGTTCGGAGCCGTTCTGCTCGATTTGAACCAAGGTTTATTTTGGCCGGTTCTGGTGGGCGAAAAGGAAAATTGGATGTCTTTTCTTCAATTTGTTAATCTTTTTAGTATTTGGGATGTTGATTTTAGAATACAGGGGGTAATTTTAAAAGAAAAATACGAGAAAACAATTCTAGAAGCTAGCTTGGCACGGGCTTTCCAAGCAATATACTTGGCACTGGGATTTCGCTCAGGCTCAAGCTCACATTTTTTCAGCATCAGCACATTTCACGTTCTTTTTTCCTATTTTCGACGTCGCTATCTAAAAATGAATCTCAAAAAACACTCATCTCAAACAACTTTTCTTCACGATTCTTTTATCGAATCACTTATTGTGTTTTCTTCGTTTTGTTCAATTCTGTTCAATTTTTGTTTCTATAAATTGTGTTTTTCTTTCAGATCAATCCATCAAATCATTTCACAAGGATGACCGAAAAGGAAAATTTCATGGTTCGTTTTTTCTTCTGCCTTATCGTGCTTTAAAAACTTTTCAATCAAAAGAAATTACTCAATTTGAAAGCCCTACTCACTTACCCAAGCGTCTAAAAACAAATAAACAAATTTGCACACTAAACGGTTTTGTCGCTTCAAAAAGATAAACCCTCAAACAAAATTTCAAAGATTTGTTATGTTTTAAACATAATTAATACTAAAAGCAACTATTCTCTTTTTCAGGCTATCGGAATGGATAACGAAAACGAGTACGAAGAGTCGATGGTGGGGTTCCCATTCAGTTTCGACTAAATTCTGCTTTTTCTAATGTTATCCTTTCAGTTATTCAAATTTACATTTCAGGCACTAATCGGTCCTCCACCAGCATATCTAGACGCCAATTCAGATCCAAATTTTCCCGGGGTAAGCCCTAGCCAACAAGAGCCTGCCAACAATCCACCAAACCAATGACAATGGCAAAATGTGGTGCTTATCTGGTGATGAGAAAAACATTTTTTGGTGATAATTGTTGAATTCCTTAAAGTACAGGCGGGAAATCCTAAAATAGAGAGACAAAGTTGGATCCAATTTTAGACGATTGCTTATTTCGTAACATTTTGATAAGGTTTTCAAATAGAAATTCAAGCAATAAAAGGAAGATCTGGCTCTTGCGTAGTTTCCGGGTATTTTGAACTGGTCGTCACACTTCGAAGGCCTATAACTTTACCCAGAGATAATATTTTTGTTAACTTTTTATTTCATTGTACAGAGGACATTTCAGACTTTCAAATGATGTCAAAGAAAGCTTGACTGGATTTTCCATTCTCATGCAAACAAGGCGACACGACACCCGAGCTGGATAGGCCCCATTTGCTCAGAGTTGGCTCTGATTTTCTTGGACTGGCTTATCCAATCAAGCTCTCTTTGGCATCATTTGAAAGCCTGAAATGTCCTCTGTACAATGAAATAAAAAGTTAACAAAAATATTATCTCTGGGTAAATTTATAGGCCTTCAAAGTGTGACGACCAGTTCAAAATACCCGAAAACTACGCAAGAGCCAAATTTTTAATTGAAGTACCTTTTAACACTGATCAATTCTTTCATATTTCAGTCTACTGTGATCACCGTTCAACCAAATTACATCATCAGTCAACCACTTGACATCAAGCCATGTTTACTTAGATGCCCAAATTGCCTCCAGGTAAGTCAATGGAAAAAGAAAATTTCATTTTTTGATTAGCACATCAAGTTTCAACGTTGTTTTTGGCTTTATTTTTGAACAATTGATAAAATCACTTCATTTTGAAAGGTAAAAGTAATCCTTTTTAAAAAATGAAGCTCTGAAATCACTTGTGACACGAGATATGTACAGAGTTTTCTGCTCTTTTTATTAGAGTGATTTATGGGGATTAAAAATAAACATGGCTTTTATATTTGCTTCAGGAAATAGGGAAATAACTCAACGTTTTCATTCAGATAACGACAACCGAAGTCACCTATTTTTCCAGATTCTTCGCTTGGCTCCTGTGCAAGGTTTTTTTCGCTTTTGGGTTGGTTTTGATTTCAAAAAGTCACTAAAACAAACTGGCAACATTTTCATAAGCAATCAAAAAACAATCATTAGATGATTCAGTACATTTCTAACTCTAGTAAAAATTTCTTTTTAGATGCTGGCTCTGTTGCTGTATCCCATTCTGTTGTAAAGAATGTAAAGAGGTTGAACATCGTTGTCGAAATTGTAAACATCTTATTGGAACTTACAAAAGATTATAAAAAATTAAGCTGAAACTTTTCTTTTCAAGTTTATTTTGAAAGTTTTCCATTATAAAGTCTAACAAAAAATGGTTAAATAAAGAGTTAAAAAATTTCCCCAAATTTGAAAAGACTAAAAATCTATTCTTCAAATTTCTCAATTGTCTCATTCTTGATTATAAAATAAGTTAAAGGAAAAATGAAAAGATTCAGACAAAATAAAGAGCCCATAAAAGAAAATGAAGATAATCGAACTAGAAAAGTTCATGATTCGGCAGCTGAATATAAAAGCAGTTTTAGATTTCATTCATCACAAATTCAAAGCATTTTTGGTTATTTTTTTGGAATTGGTTTCCTCTTTATTGAGGTTGTTTAGGCGCAAAAAGTGAATTGTGAGTTGGAGTTGAGTTGAACGCGTCAATTGAATTTCTTTGCCGACCCTAAAGACCGAAGTCCTTGGGATGTCCCAAAATTAATGGTCACCGGCAGTCCCCTGCGGGCGTTCCGAGGAACGACACCTTGGGATCCCACCTCTGACGGGAGAGAACCTCCCTTATGCCAAAGGTGAGCTGTTATCCGGTGAGGGATAACTGACATTCAGTTGGGGCCCTTTCTCCCCCTACCGGGCTTATAACTGACGAGACCTGCCGTCAGACTGACCGAATAGGGTGATGGGAGCCGGATTGCAGCCGAGACTCGCTCGCATTACCCAATGGCGCTTTGCCAGACCGCGCGCGATTACGCCCCCAGGAGGTGTCGAACAAAAAAAGTTCTAAAATTCTTTTTCCCACTTTTTTATCATTTTCCATCTTTCTTTTGACTTTCTGGGGTGATTTTTAACGGCAAATTCGACGGAAAGCACTCCAAATTTCGATAGTCTTTGTTTCGCGGTGAATTGTGATCCTTTGAATCACTTTCCTGATAGATAAAAGAGTTTCAATTAGAAGTCCCTATAGTCTTAGAAGTCCCTTAGAAGCCTATATGGCAAAAAAAAGCTCACCCATCATAAAGAACTTTTTTGATTGTTCATATCGATAATTCCACCGTCGATTACCGGCAAATGCGTATCCAAAATTCACTAATTTCGACATGCTCTTCTTTTTCTGTATCTAACATTACCTTGACAAGTATCTAATGATCGAGATAGAGTCCTTGCAAATGTATGATCACCACAAAAATCTATTTATTTGAATCGTCTGCCCCCAGGCCGTCGAATCACTGCCACCTCTGCGTGTTCTAAATAACAAAAAAGGGTCACTTATACAAAAATTTTCATGAAAAGGAATGCTTTCATAAAACTTTTCAAAACCTGTATATTTCAGTTCCAGAAAAGGCAGTGCAGCTCGATTCTTTTCAGAATTTCTAGTGGCTCCTGGGATTGGTGTGGTGCCAAAGTGAATATCTTGGGCGGGTAAATTTTTGATATTTTCACTTTTTTCCGATTTCATGATCCTTTACATGAAATTTTTGAGTAAAAGCAAAAGTCAGTCTATCCCTCACCGGATAACAGCTCACCTTTGGCATAAGGGAGGTTCTCTCCCGTCAGAGGTGGGATCTCAAGGTCACCACCATGAGACTTTTGCCATAAAATTAAAACTTTGTACTATCATATTAGAGTTAATATATTTAGTTTATATAAAATCTTAGTTTCATTTTTAGCCAAACACTTTATTCATCTACATTTTGTGATAATCTCTCGTAAATCAGAGATTTTCAATTCGCCTTTTTTTTGAAGAAGTGTCCCATTTTTCCAAGGATCATTTAAGTGTATGTTTAAAATTTGAATCGTAAACATGAACACTATCGTAATAGTGTTTATTATGCACCACAACAATTCCCAGGAGCCACTAGAAATTTTGAGAAAAATCTGAACTGACATAGGTATTCACAATTTTTGACAACGGCGGATAACTTTCAACAAATTGTTCATGTAAAATATTTGCTTGAAAGAAAAACAAATCGCGAAAAACGATCGTTTAGAATGTTGCTTGTACAAGGATGAGCAAAAACATTGCAGAGATCGAAGAAAATTTGTTGGAGACTTTTGGAGACGAATTGTAGTTGAATGAAAACTCTCGATGATGGTACTTGACTCCCAGTTGGTGGCTACCGGTCTGATTTTTAATAGATTCGATCAGCTTGTCCACGACGTCAAGCGCCGCTTTCAGTTTTTTGAGTTCACTAAAGCTGAGAAAATTTTGTCCATTTTTAAGAGAAGGAAACAAAAAATAAATAGTTTATTTTGAAAATCCGATCCAAAAATTCCTTTGCTCTAAATTCTCTTAAAAACCTTAAAAATTACTTTTCCTTTACTTTTCAATAACTTCAAAACTTCTCAAACCCACATTTCTTCTCGTAGTGCAAGTTTTTCCTCTTGACACTCGGATAATCTAAAAGTTGAATACCTAAGAAAATCAAATGCTTTAAAACCTTTGCTTCAAAACAACAGCTTCGACATGCAATCTATCGATTTCGTCTTTTCTTTGTACTTCTAGATTTCTGAAAGATTGAAATGATTGAGATTGAAAAATGTTAACTTTGTTCATAAGATTCTTGTGACTTTTTTTCTTACGTTTTCTCGCGAAGCTTCTCCTGCAGATGGTCCCTAAAGAAATCTTCGCAATGATAAAGTCTTTTTGGCTTACTGACAATTGTTTTCGGCAAATTGTCAGCGTAGCGTTTTGATCGTTGCAAGTTTCCAAATTCCGTCTTGTTCTAGAACGGCTAAAAAATGCCTTTTTAAACATGGAATTTATTTTTTCTTGGGTTTCGTTGTCTTTACATGATCGGTAATTAACACGTTGACGACATTGTCACCTGATGCTGTCTGACACATATTCGTTCGCCTGGGACATTGTCACCTGATGTCAGGTGACATTTTTTGTCGAAAAAAAACAACGTTGTCCCATGCGATTGTTTGTGCAAAAGTGCCATTGTCGTCAACGTGTTAAGACATTTTTGACTACATTTGAACAAATCGATTTATCGATGAAATATCTCAATGCTGAGAAATGACCCACGATTTGTCGAAGTCCCAATTGATCATGATGATTCCCAGCACTATGCCAACAAAAATAAGCATTGATGTGAAGATGAATAGAGGCTTCGAATGCCATTTTTCTTTTTTGATAGCGTCTCTAAGGTTGAACGTTATAAATGAATATTTCATTGATATACCTATTTATTGGTTTATTGGGTATCGATAGCAGAGACTTGTCAACCTGTTGAGAATTGAAGGGTTTCTTTGCCATTGACAAGAGTTTTCTAAATCTCTATGTAGAGGTAAAAAAGCAATAGTCAAACATAAACATAAATAAAAGAATGTAAGCAAAGGAAAGATTCGACTTTTATTATGTTAATTAGGAGTGAGTCAATTTAGTTGAAAACAGGCGATTTGGCGATTTTGTGGAAAATTTTTTCAGCATGAGAAAAAGTTGTATGTCACAATGTATGTAAAATGTTAATAAATAACATAACATAAAAATATTCTTGCTATATGCTAATAAATAGCTATAAAAATATTCTTGCTGAAGAGAAATTACTTCTTTTCGATAAGAGATGGTTCTTTTCCCAAAAAAAACGATTGTTTTTGACTAAAGACTTTACGTTAGCTGCAAAGATAAGCAGCGGTCTCGTGCTTCAGGGAATTCAATCTTTCATATCTCAGATTAAACCCAAAATGAAAAGCAATACAAATGCAAGAAGTAAATCTGTTTACTTCAAAATGTTTTTTTCTTTCACTCTCAGCTTTGGACAGCTAAAAAAAGCTTGAATTCTATTTTTAAATACAAAATTAAGCATAAATACTGTTTACGATGTTATTGCATGAAAAACAACAAAATTTTAACCATTTCTTTATAGAGCATCTGTTACAAAATACTTTTCCAAGAAGTAATTCAGTGAGGATAACAATGTTTTATAGCAAATTAAACATGCTGATTTCAAAAGTGAAAACCGTTTTTCTCTAGCTATTCTCGTTCCCAAGATCTGAAAGCGATTTTAAACTTAAAAATAGTTTTTATTATAAAAATTTTTTCAAATCAAGTTGTTTTTAAAAACCAATTGAATAATCAGAAACTACATAAAATTTACTACAAAATTGTGTTCGAGAGTTTTTGGATTAGGTCGCTTTCCTGATCGGAAATCGATCCTGAAAATCGAGGCTCTAATTTTGGCATGTTTTCAACGTGAAATGGCTTGATTTCAACTGTTCTTTCAACTGTCAACTCAACCGTTCACAAGTTCCAAACCCGTTCCTGACATGGATATGATCTGTATATGGAATATGGTTATTTGAACGATTTACTTCCATTTCTAGACAAGTCAAAATTTCTGAAACGTGAAAAAACTTGGAATTCCCTAGTAAATGAGTCGACTAAGAGATCGAAAGTGAATTGAATGGGAAAACGAAGGCATCATTCAATATTCAATGGTTTGCTATAATTTCAAGGAAATTTCATTTTATCATCTAGAAATCTTTTTTACACTTTGTAGATGGTTGAGAGAGTTTTTAATCAAAGTTTTATCGTGCAAATTTATAAATTTCGAACATTCACAATTCCAACAATTAAACAATCAACTCAATGACTAAAAGGTGTATTGGGTTGGGGAGAATGAAATGGCGTCGAAAATCAAAGAAATGTCTAAACTTCTAGCAGATTTCGTTAAATGATACGCGTTTGATATCAGTAGAAAGATTAACTAATTCTCTACAAAATGACATTTAAAAGAGAACTCAAACAGCGCCTCAGCTCAACGAAAGGCCATTTTTACACAAAACCTATAAAATGTCATTTAGAGAAAACGGTTGAAGAGGTACTCTTGAAAATTTGGGAACCGATGTAATTGGTTGTGCTCTATCTTTTTTATGTAAACACTAAAGGAAGTTTATTTGGAAGAAACTGTTCAAACGATGAGTCGGACTCTATGCCATTTTGATTAACTGTGGTTGGGAGTCCATAAACTTCACGAAAGAAAAGCTTTGTGGAATCTCTCAGAAGTCATTTTTTAGAGAAATAGTGGACCCTTTTGATAAAACAAAACTTATATTTAAAGAAGGCTTTATGCGTGCAAAAAGTGTCTTTAAAGTTCGGTGCCATTTCATTCTTCCCAACCCAACATTAAAGCTTTTGTACATAGAGCTGTAGAACGGCGTGCGGGTAAGGAAAGAAAACAAAGAAGATTTTTCGAATTCTTTTACCCTTGAAGCTATTTTAAGGAGAATGAAAGGAATAAAGGAATATAGGAATATTCGGAAACAAATGAATCTTTTCAAAGTTTCAAAAAAACAAGAAGAAGAAGGCATGAAGAGATAATCGAAAACTTGTTGACAGCTTTTGTGTAACGGAGGAAAAAATTCCCCTTCCTGGAGTTTCCCATCGAACTCCAGACGGTACTCATCGCTCTGATTTTTCTGAATTTCTATCAGCCTCTCCACGAGTTGGATGCCCTCTTGCAACTCTTTGAGTTTTCTAAATAAATTTTATTTATTGCAAAATGCAAGATTTTTCAGAGCTTCTGAGTAAAACTGATCTTTGAAATGAAATGAGTTTCAGTCAGCAAAAAATATGTTAAGCTAGTAAAAGTCAAAAGATTTTATGGAAAATGCAAACCAACCGAGATTCGGGTAGTTTTTGCTCATCTCGTTGACAATCGGACAACCTGGAAATGAAAGAAAAAGTTCATTGCCGTTTTGCAATGAAATAATGCAATGCAAAAACGTTTTGCAACGTTTTTTTTTGCCAACTTGCACACCTTTGTTTCAAAACAATGGCTTCGGACTGCAATCTATCGATATCGTCTTTTCTCATAAATTCTTGTAGCTCAAGCAGTGAACTAAAATGATTGGAATTAGAAATAAAAACTTTGTTCTCAAAGCTCTGAATCAATTTTCTCACGTTTTCTCGCGCAGCTCTTCTTGCAGATGATCACTGAAAACCTCTTTTATGTAATTCAAAGTTTTTATTAGAATGACCAACACTTCTATTCGCCAAGCCTTCAACATATCATTCTGATTACATGTTTTCGAATCACTTCTTTTAGGATGACTAAAATATTTTGATTTTTTCATCAACTTTTTCAAAACACGATAGAAATTCGAATCCTAATTTGATTTGAAAAAAATTTTGTAGCCTAACTTTATGTTCATGTTCAACTTCTACGCAAGTTGTGGTAGAGATTGAGTAAAAATGAATCACAAAGAAAAAAAAACTAGTGATCATGTGAATCAGCTTATTCAAAAGTGACTTTCTTTTTCTTGTTTTAGCCAGAGAAGAAGAAGAAAGGGAAGAAGTGAACTCGCCCACGACCCACTTCTCGATACTACCACAGCTCCTCAGGGATAAGGATTGGAAACAATCGGGAGACCACAACGAGGACTACGACACCCTGGTCAAGAACCTCAAGGGATGCGAGAAGAAGTGCAATGTGTCACAGACCAAAGATCAGAGGATCTCAGACGCGACCAAGGAGCTGCTCAAGATGAGGATCCACATCAAGAACACCACCAACTCCAAAGAACTGGAACGAAGAACAGCTGACAAAGCATGCCGCAACCACCTCAAGATGGACCTCAGCAACCACCGCAAGCGAAAGCTCCTGGAAGCAGCCGAAGCAAGATAAAGCATCAAGAGGTGCAGACGAGGACTCATCCAAAAGAGACAAGTCTTCACAGCCCTCAAGGACAACAACGGCACAAGAACCAACTCAAGAGCGGCGATGGGGAAGATTGTTCAAGACTTCTACACCGACCTCTACTCGTCGACAGTCACCCACCCACCACCGCCAGTGTCAGCTGCCACAGAAGAAATATCGACAGTCCTCCCAGCCGAAATCAGAGCAGCCATCGCCACCACCAAGACTGGAGCAGCCCCAGGGCCAGACAACTACTCAAGACAAGATAGAGCTACTCAAGGTTGGAGGAGAAGACATACACAAGCTGCTGGTCGAACGCTTCACCACCTACCTCCACAACCAGAGGATGCTTGACCACTGGCGAGAAGCAAGGACAGCCCTGCTCTACAAGAAAGGAGGTAAAGAAGACATCGGAAACTACAGGCCAATATCTCTGCTATCGGTCCTGTACAAGCTCTACAGGAAGATTCTCCAACAGCGAATAGAGCGGCAATTCGACGACTAACAGCCAGTGGGGCAGGCCGGCATTCGATTCAGTGGAACACGGTGGAGTGACACAAGCCCTCCTCGACGCAGGAATTGACCTCGGATATACCCACGCCATACAAGACTGCTACACGGAGGCTACCACCACCATCAAGATGTTCGAGAGGGAAGTCCACATCCCGATCAAGCGCGGGGTCCGCCAAGGAGACACCATCTCGCCCAAGCTGGACAGCACTAGGAAGCATCAAAGAAGTCACAAAGATTCTCAAGAATCGCCAGAGGACTCGGGCACACCTCTTCGACAGCACCGTCCTCCCGGCACTCTGCTACGGGACAGAGACCTGGGCCACGACACAGACCACTGAACGAGCCCTGAGAACGACGCATCAAGCCCTTGAAAGGAACCTCCTCGGACACAATAGGAAGACGCAGCTCGACCAAGACCTAAGAAGTACGGATATGCGCCCGCTCTCGGGACTCAGAGATCCAGTGGAAGTGATCGAGAGAAAAAGACTCAGATGGGTCGGCCACGTAGCCAGAAGAACAGACGACAGATGGACGATATGGATCACAGAGTGGCTACCACGAGACCAGAAGAGGCCCATCGGAAGACCAGCAACGAGGTGGAGCACAAGAGTGGCAGAGACGATCAGAGAAAGGATGGCTAGAGTGCAACCACCACCAGCACAAGCAAGTCGAAGACTTCGAACCAGGAACACCAAAGGCTGGATGACAATAGCAAGGGATAGAGAAATGTAGAAGCAGGTTGTGATCTGCGCAAATAGGAACACTGAAGTGCGAAGACAGATCAAAAAAAAATTATGAAAGAGATCTATTTATCAATTCTACGAAGTAAGTTTTAAATCAATTCAAATTTTAAATTTCAGTTTTTTAGAAGCCTCACTAGTTATTCAAGTCCCATCTGAGGAAAATGATCACCATTACGATGGCACTGAAAATCACCAGAATTACAATGGAGAGAAGAGGCGTAGAGCACTTCTTTTCTTTTTCGTTGATGAACCTAAAATCGAATATTGTGCTATTTTTAACAGATAGACGCACTCGTGTCGCTCATGTGGACTCTTCGCTAACAGTGAAATGTTGAGCTGATGGGAGTCAAAAGGATTCTCTGACATTCACTAAAAGTTTTCTGCTTTTCGATTATAAAACTTGGGCACAAGAAAAAAAAGTATGTGAAGTACAACATAAATAACAAAGGGAAAAACGGGATTTCTTTCGGCAGACTTTAAATAGTTTCAGTAACACATTCAGTAAAAGATTGAAAAGTTGTGGAGCTTGTTCAAAGTTTGCAAGAGTATGTGCATTTCCTTAAGTTATAAAAACACGAACACAGGCAAGCACAGAAAAATTTTATTTCTGAAGAAAATTCCGATAAGAGTTCCCCTTTTTGACAATTTTCTTTAGCCACAAAATAAAGCCACAGGTAAACATTTTAAATTCTCTTGCCAATGAAAAATAGCGATAAGAGTTCCTTTTTTGCAGAATTTACGAAAAGTCGGAAAAAGACCAAAGGTTTTGGTGCCTTTTTCTTTAAAAAAACTAGATTTAAAGAAAACACAACTAGCTTGACTTAAAACGGGTATTTTAATAGTCAAAAATACTCTCGCTTCACACAACCAACAGGGAAAGCATTTGAAAAAGTGACTTGCAAAACAAGCAAAAATGTTTATTACCATCATACAATCATACAATCATACGATGATTACGGGAAATGCGAAGGAGTGACTCACGAGTAGTTTTTTGAATTCAATAAATCACACAACGGGTATTCAATGAATCACACAGCCTTTAAAACTCGACTTTTTATGGAATATCCTATATTTGCCAGCTATACGCATACATTGTTATCAGAGTTTCCTTATGCCATACAGTCATTCAACTTGGATAAAATCAATGATATGATGATTTTTTAGGTGACACCAAGATAGATTAGTATAGAAAAAAGTGTATAAATCGCCTCCTCTACAATAGCCCCTTCCATAGTAAAAAGATGAACTCCAAAAAACAAACTTCATTTTTTTTTTTGTAAAATGGTTAAAAATTTTTGCCAGATCTAGCGATTGGTAAACCTGGGCCCCAGGCACTTAATCTTATCATTTTTGTTGAATTTGAGCATGATTTTGAGGATCCCAAAATCGCTAGTCCCTATTTTTCTTTGTCCCGAGCATTGATATTGCTCCTTCTTCTTTCTTCTTCTTTTTTACTTCTTCTTCCTAACCTTTTCTAAATTCCTAGTCCAAAAGCTCTTTTGACTTGCTAGGGTTTCTTTAATTGTTAGAAATTTATTTTCTAGCCGATCCAGCGAAAGTTGCTAAGTTCTATCAGACACAAATACGATGTCGCTGAATGAAACAGTTGGCTGACTTACCAACGAGCAAAAAGAAATTGAGTAAAAAGAAATGAGCGAAAAGAATGTTGCATATGTACTTGTATTAAAATCTCAATCTAACCAATATAACTTAGGTGCACCGGTCAAAACGCAACGGTAATCGTCAACAGTGCTCGAAGACTTGCGGTGACTGCTTTTGAGCCATTTTTTTTGCAAACTTATGGATTATTTGATAATTTTGTATTGTTTATTGGACTGCCAATAAAATCACGAGCACAATTTATTCAACTTAAAAAAAACGGGGAACAAACAAAGCAAAAGAAACAAAAGAATGGTGAACAAATGGCCAAACAAATGCTTATAGTTTAAGTAGTTTTAAAGCTTTTTACAGAAAAATGAAGAAGAAGGAAAGTTTTTATATTTTTCTTACAACTTTATTTATAGTATAATTGCAATGGTTTATACAAAGAAAGAGAAAGAAAAGGAAAACTATTATGTTGCGAATGCACATACAAAGATGAGCAGAAATATTGCAGAAATGGGGAATAACTTTCTGGAGCTGGAATCTTTCGAATATTTCCAAATAAAGCCACCATGATTGGACTCGAACGACATATCGTGTTTGCCGGTCTGGCCTTTGAGAGTCTCAATCAGTCTTTCCACGACTTTCATACCAGCTTGCAATTTTTTGAGTTCACTAAATTAAGAAAATTCTACTAATAGCTTGCTCTCTTTTTTCACACAAAGATTCACAAAAAGTTTCTCAAACTCACATTTCTTCTCGTAGTGCAAGCTTTTCCTCTTCAAGCTTGGACAATCTAAAATTTGAATGCATAAGAAAAGGCTTAAGTCTCTCTTTCACACCTTTGTTTCAGCGTTTCAGCTTCGATTTGTATTCTATCAATATCTTCTTTTCTGTGTTCAAGTTGAAATCTGAAATGTTTGAAATGACTTTGTTTTCAATTTAATTTCAATTTAGTTTCGTTTTCATTGAGTTTTTAAGGAAATTTTCTTACGTTTTATCGTTCAGCTTCTCTTGCAGGTTCTCCCTGAAAAATCAGCTCAATGACAAAGTTTTTTAGATAACTGACAATTGTTTCCGGCAAACATTCAACGGAGCGTTTTCTTCAGTGCTTGTTTCCAAATAACGTCTCGGTCTAGAAAGGCTAAAACGTGTTGATTCTATTCTTTCTTTGGGATTTAAGTTGGTCTGGTTGTCTTTAGGATTGTCTAAGTTTAAGCAATCAATTTGCTAACTATTTGCCAGCTAAATGTTATTTATAGCTGAGAAATGGCCCACGATTTGTCGAAGTCCCAATTGATGATGACGAATCCCAGGGCTATACCAAAAAAAATGAGTAGCGATGCGAAGATGAACAGGGGCAAAGAATCACATTTTCCTTTTTCAATAAATTTTCTAAATTTTGAGCAGTATCGGTAAAGAATTGATGGAAATACTTGTTTGTTGGTTCATCGGATAATAATGAATTGTCAAGCTCCATGGAATTGATAGGTTCCTTTGTCATTGGCGATAGTTTACTATAGCTAGATACATGTAAAGGTAAAATACCAAAGCACACAAAAAATCAACAATCTTTCATAAATAAAAAGACAATATAAAGAGAAAAGAGATTGGGCTTTTGTCTTTGTTCTCTAAGTTATAAATCTATCTTTGTTCTCTTTAAGTTATGTTAATTGAAAAGTCGTTTAGTGGAAAGAATTGGAAAAAAGTATAAGTACTTTTGTTTTTTGAAAACGCGATAGTCGAAATCTTCAACAAGAAAGATTTTTGTGTCTTCCAAGTTTTTAAAGCCTAATCTTCTGCTGTGAATGAAGTAGATAAATTTTGAATCAAGCCGTACAAAGAAAAAACGGTTGATTGTGATTACTTAATCAAATGTTCTTTGCATATGCTAATAAATAGTCATAGAAATATCATTGCTGAAGAGAAATGAGTTTTTCTTTTCGATAAGAGGTGGTTATTTCCCCAAAAAGAAAACGGAGCGAGTTGTTTTTGACTGAAGACTTTACGTTAGCTGCAAAGATAAGCAGCGGTCTCGTGCTTCAGGAAATTCAGTCTCTAGAATCTCAGGAGTTGAAATAAAAGATCAAATTTAGTTGCTTTAGTTGTCGAAGAGCAATACACCGATTAAAGCCTAATCTTCTGCTGTGGATGGTGCCAAGAGTAAACAAGTTCAGCTCAAAATGCTTTTGTTCTACTCAAAACTTTCAAACTTTCAAACTTTCTATGTAAGTTTATTATTTGATAGCTTGAGTATTGTTGAAAGGTAATTGTGCACACAGGCCTTGCGCTCCAAAACTATTTTGGCTTGATTGATAGAGTATTATTTGATAGTTTGGCCATACAATTAGGCTTGAAATGCAAGTCAAAAGCGTTGCAATTTTTCGAGAAACAAGAAGTTTTGGAGCGCAAGGCCTGTGTGCACAATTACCTTTCAACAATATGCCTAGATTCGTTCAACAATATGCCGTCCTTTTCTTCAGCAATGACTTAAAAAAAATCAAAATTTAGTAAAATCGGATAATTTTGATTTTAGACAAGTTTCAACAACGCTTTTGTTTTTGTTTTTTTTTTGATGATGTGTTTTCTTCGCGAGTAATACGTTTTTTAAAGCGAACACTTGGGAAAAATTACCGTATTTCTTCGAATAGAAGACCGGGTAAAGAGTATCATCGCGTACTCCTGCGTAGCAGCCCTTTTTAAAATTTCTTTTCTGCATAAAAGCTTTCAATCAAGTGCTATAGAGCTGGAAAATGGCTCAAAAATCTGTTAGCTCATGTGGTATTTTTGAGTCATTTTCCAGCCCTATAGCACTTCATTGAAAGCTTTTATGCAGAAAAGAAATTTTAAAAAGGGCTGCTACGCAGGAGTACGCGATGATACTCTTTACCCGGTCTTCTATTCGAAGAAATACGGTACCTTACTTTTGGCGAAAATTATTGCAAAAAATTGAAGCGAAAAAATCACGAGCGCCGCCTTATATACGATTTCTTTTAAAGATATTCAACTGTTTAACTGATTTTAGTGGCAAATTCTCTTCAGATGTAAAGATATTCAATTTACTCGGCGTATAGAGAGGATTACTCGTAGTTACTCGGCGAAAAACGTCGATTAATCGAGCAAAAATGACTCAAATTTTACTCGAGTAATTATTTACTCAGAAGGAACACACTTTACTGATGCGTGAGTGTTTTAAAAAAGAAGATCGTGCGCTATTTGTATTGAAAATTCAACAAGGTTTATCAACAATCGAATAACCAAATCAATGACAAAAATGTACATTCAGTACAGTAGAAGTAGAAGTTTACAGTAGTGTACAGTAGAAGTCTATAATCTTCTTTGAGTTTTTTTCTTTTAAATACCTTTCATTAGACTAATAATAATTCAATTGGAATCATGATTATACCTACAAATTTTGGATTACAAGATACTGGGATTTTGGGATCCAAGCAAACGTTTATTCCAGAAAAAGAGTTCAGACTGTTCGTCGCTTCAACCATTTCCCTTGCGACATTGAAAGTGTTTCCCTCCTTGAATTCAAAAGTGAATCTTTCTTTAAATAAAATAAATTTTTTTGTTGGCTTCCGAAAGCCCATGAGTTCCATTTTAGAACAAAAAATATAATTAAAGTCTCTCATTGAAAAGAGAAAATCAAAACAATGAGCACAAACGGAATAATGATTGTGACAGTTTTGGGCTACCATTCGAGAAAAAGTTCTGAGAAATATGATCACTGGCGTTTACTCTTGAAACTCTTGAAATCACTCTTGAAGATCACTCTTGAAAATGGAAAGATATACTTGTAAGTGATAAAAACGGGAAATAGATTTGAAAACTTAATCATAGCATGTTCGATGGTAATACCAATCTTGATGAGATAAATGATAGTTTGAGACAATGCACCGAGAAGAAAATCACTGCGTGATCGTTATATATTGGGTTGGTGAATTGAAAACTGCCGAACTTGGAACTAAAATTGATTCAACATAAAACCGTGAACTCATTGGAAATAATTTCCATTATTATTGACGACTTCTGCACATTTTACGGGCAATTTGCGGATTCCTCTTTCGTAGTAGGATTTTGGTTTGTGTGTGAGACAAGTGTGAGACTCAAAAATGGAGGACTGGAGATGTCCCAGTTTGAGCATTTGAGCACTTTCTTCAAAAGAAACCCATTTTGGTATCAATAGAAAAGTTGTAGAGAATCAAAAATGAGGCTTATAGCCAAATTTCCAAAAAGATACACTTAGTAGTTTCGCTTAAAATGCAAGTTTTGTGAAAATTCGTAAATTTGGCATTTCTTGAAAACCAGTTTTTGAATCGTTCTGAAAATTTGGATATAAGCTTGATTTTTGATTCTCTACAGCTTTTCCATTGACACCAAAATGGGTTTCTTTTGAAGAAAGTGCTCAAACTGTCACATATGACAATAGCCGGTAGTTTTCAATTCATCAACCCAATAGTTTACCTCATCACTGATGCCACCATTGGACAATCTGAGCACCTCGAGAAGACAGGGGACCATGTGCTGAAAATTTAACTTTAATGAGTTCAAAATGTCATTTCATTAGTTCTATTATCTATAATCAAAGAAATTTAAGATCAATCTACTTTGCAACCTCAACATGGGTGTTTGTGATGTTAAAGCGAACGTGACTGCTTGCGATTTTCCGTAAAACTTCTTGTAAAGCAACGTCATCATCGATTTTCGAAACAATCGTCTGAAATTGTATGGCACCAATCCAATAGTTATGGCAGACCTACTATTACAGCGCTTTATGTGAGTGACAAATATTGATATTTGAAATACATATTTGTAAATGACAAAATTTTAATTTAGTATTTTGATTATACATTCGGAGTGACTCCCCTATCAGTTTTTAGTCATTGTTTTTAAATTTCACAACATAAACTTTAACTTTTTTGATTTTTCGCTAATAAAAGCGCAGGTTGCGCACGTACTCATCAACAAAAGAGGGAAAACTTTTTGAGGCAATGTGAATTCTAAGTTTTTTTGTAACGTTTCTGCTTTACTGATTGTGATGTTTAATTTTACACAAAAATCCGCACGTTTTCTTTTTTCTTGTTTACATTTAGTTAACCAGTTTGCGATTGAGAAATGATCCTTTTTTTGGTTCCACTCTCCGAGCCAAATTTTGTTTTTCAAAATTTTCTGGAAATCTAGTCCCTTTTTGGATTTAAATTTAGCTTCTTAAGTTTTTAATAAAGTTTCTTTTTCTTTCTTATAAGTTCTTAAAAGTTACTTATAAAGCTTTTTTAAACAAACTATTTCAGACAATGTTCCGATTTTTCTTCTTGTTCAACATCGTTGCCTTGATTTCTTCTTCTGAATCTCTCGGAGAAATTCTTAATAATATGTTTACAAGTTTCAACGCCGCAGACTATGATCTAAAGTTGGATTTTAATCTAACTTAATAATAATGGTAGCAATAATAATTTAGATGCATTATTATTGGGTTGGAGAGAATGAGTCGGCGCCGAAATTTAAAGAAACTTTTTGCACCCATAAAACCTTCTTTAAATACACGTTTTGTTTCATCAAAATGGTCCACTATTTCTTTACAAAATGGCTTTTGAGAGATTCCACAAAGCTTTTCTTTTTGGGATTTTATGGATTCCCAAACACAGCTAATCAAAATGACAAAAAGTCCGACTCATTGCTTGAACAGTTTCTTCCACATAAACCTCCTTTGGTGTTTATATAAAAAAGATAGAGCACACTCAATTACATAAGTTACCAAATTTTCAGGAAGATACCTCCAACCGTTTACTCTAGATCACAGTTTATCGATTTTGTGAAAAAATGATCCTTTGTTGAGTTGAGGCGCTGTTTGAGTTCTCTTTTAAATATTATTTTGTAGAGAATTAGTTACCCTTCTACGGATATCAAACGCATATCATTTGACAAAGTCTGCTATAAGTTTTAGAAATTTCTTTGATTTTCGGCGCCGACTCATTCTCCCCAACCCAATATATGTAACGTAAATTTTTCAATTTTCTAATTTTAGGTACATCTGTTCGATGTGTTCTTCCGAAGACTACTGGACCGAAAATAATTCATCGGTAGGGAAACTTTTTTGTTTCTATAATAAAGCAGTTCTCATTATTTTCCGATTCAATCTAAAGTTTTATTGAAAATAGTAAATTGTTTTAGTATATTTACGAATCGAAACCGGGCATGAGTTACAGCCTGGGAGAGAACTGTCGGAAACCGAAAGAAAAGCCAAAGTAAGCAGTAGAAACAGAAAGCAAATCCCAGAAAGAAAACGTTTAGATTCTTAAAAAAAGTTCTAAATCTTGTTCAAATTCAAATTTGTCTTTAGTTACATGTGTGTTTCTGATTGCACGTATGCTTTGCGGATGAAAAGAGACGAGAGATGGGATCTCTTCAAAAAAGGTGAGTCTTCATTGTCCGTGTACCCTGTAGACATCGAAAAATTCCACCCGGCACCTAATTTAATTATTCTTGCTGATGGCTCGGTGAATTTTTCTGAAACTAGATGATGGCCGAATCTCTTGGACTGCAAAATTTCAGCAAAAGAACGACTGGAATCTTCCTATGTCTAGTACCTTGTAAAGCGAAAGTTCAGTGGAAAACGAGACCGATCTCTTCAAGCATGAGGCACTTGCATGTGGGAATTTCTACGAGAAATTCAATGGGCACAAGTTTGAGAAGGGGAAACCGTGCTCTGTGCGAGCGTTTAACGATGAAGATGGCACAAGGGTAAAGGTTAAAAGGCAGTAAAGGTTAAAAGGTACTTAACGGTTTAATGGTAAAGGATGAGAAAATGACAATTTGATGATATAATGTGTTCTAAGCAAACTATCGGCATTCTGCAAATTTCAGGAGCTGCTCTGTCGCTGCTCTTCGCGTAAATGCAATGAAAAAATCGCTCAATGGGTGATCAGTGAGTTGAAACTGTTTTTACTAAAATTTACATACTATTTTACAGTTTTTAAACCAAAAAGAAGAAACAAACCATTTTTTTAGATCATTACCAGAATTTGAGTGGCACCTTTGCGTTTCACATCTCGTTTGTCGATTTTCTCCTCTCTCAACAAGACTCGTTGATTGCAGAATTAAACGAGAAAGCGCTAGTTACGGAGGTAGCAATCATTTTTTCTTGTCTTTGATTTTCCTGATCATTTTTACCTTAATCGAAGACTAGAATTTGTAGGAGAAATTCGAGAAGGAGATGACGGAAATGAGGAACGAAACAAATGAAAATTTTGAGAAATTGATTGCCGGCACATGGACTGATAAGATCAGGCAATCAGCTGATCTAATTTTGGTATTTTTAAGTGTTAAACGATCAATTTGTAACTTTTTAACTAACTTTTTATCGATTCTAAAATGTGCTACGTAAAAAATTGACCCAAAAAAACACTCATTGCTTTCGATTCTAGCGATTGTTTGATGAAACGATTTCTGTTTGTTTTAATGAAAGCGCGTCGCTTGACCAACCACAATCACTCCCTTTCTGGCACATCCAAAGCCTCAGCCCTTTTACGAAGTTCATGGCATCTTTTAGAAGAGTGCCGAGCGGAAGTCAGGGAGCACACATGTGGTGCTCGACCTCTGCCCCCCGTATCTAATTTGGCAACACTTGAGGTCTTTCTTAACTCGGTTCAAATAATGAAAGAGCACTTTACCTGGAAAATAGAGAGATAACCGGCAAGTTTTTTGCTGGGATCTCCCTCGAAAGCCACTATTTTGTCATTCGAAAGCAAGGGAGCTTCCGACTTTAAGGCTTCGTATACCACCATTCCTAGTAATGAATCAAAGTTTTCAGGAGAAACTTGAGAAGATGTGGGGGATGAGCAATGGCACCGAGGAGAAATTCCACGAATTGGATGCAAATCTCAATGAGAGAGAGGTTCTAGAGGTCAGTTTTTAAGATGAATTTAAGTTAACTGAATGCTAAAAGAAAGACCAAAAATTTGCCTCTGATCAATACTTAGCAATGCCAATATCAAACACTATCAAGGCTTTACCAATACTTAGGTATCAATAATTAACATTGAAAATCTACTATATTATATTTTGAAAACTCTCTGTCCTCTTTTATTCTGAAAGTATCACCGTCAAATTTAGGCCACATTTTTACATTTAACTTTTGACCGTCAAGTTACCAATATTTCTGATTTCAACAAGATTTCAACTTCAAAAATAAGCAAAATTTACTGAACTGACCTTTTTAGTAAGAAAGAAGGGATATTAAAAATTTTTAAATGCAAATTGTGTTTCGTGATGTCGAGCTTCTAGATAAATTTCAATAAGTCTTGCTGAGGTATTGGTAGAAAAAAAATCTATGGTTCACCCATCCCTAACTAAGGCACTACAAGGGCACGGTAGACCCGGGTTTTTTGATTGGATTGAGGCTGGATGGAAAATGGATGAACCCTAGCAATTTGTTAAAATTACTCATCAAGTATATAAATATCGTCAATTACCCGTTAGTCAAAAGTATCGTAAACTTTATTTTTAGGCAAAACTTGAGAAAACACTGATGGATATGAGCAATGCAACGGAGAAACAGTTCAAAGAATTGGCCGATGAACTCAACGAAAAACCAAATGTTGTCGAGGTAATTGTGTCTTTATTTATAAAACTGAAACAGTAAAAAACTGATATCAATTTTTCTCAACTCAAAAAAATTCTAGCTAGAGAAGCAGCTGACGGAGCTACGGAATGCAACTAATGAAAAATTCGAGAAATTGACGAGTGGCTCGTGGTCTGATAAGCAAATGTGAGTTTGAAATAGCTTAAAAACGGTAACTTCATAATTTTCTAATTAGATTATTCAATTGGCTAGTAAATGCTTAATTGTAGTGTAATTTTGCAGAATTCTCGCTGTTGTGATAGCTGTTCTCGGCACTCTTTTGATTGGATCCATCGGCATGGTCATTGCGATTTATGGCCTCAAAAGACGACAACCAAAGCCCTAAAAATTTGCAATTATGCTTTTAGTTTTATTGTTTTGTAGTTTAAATCATTATACAATGGAATAAATAATTTATAGTAATATTCGTTCCTAGGTATAAACGGATATGGACTAGAATTTGAGTTAAGTTAAAGAGAGTGAATCCCTTTTGATATCCCGCCACCTCTAACACCCCGACAACCCAACTCAACTCCTCCAACGTATTAGAGGGGAGTCCCTGTGAAATTACCGACCTGTACTGCAGTTGCATAGACCCGGAAGGTATGTATCCTTATTTACAGTAGTACAATAAGACGAATAGATTACAAATGAGTGTAAGGGGAAGGGGGACTCCAAATGAGAGTCTCACTTGTCCTCCTAGGCAATCCCAAGGACCGCCCCTTCTCGGCAATAAAAGGGATAAGCACAGGGGAGAACACATTTGCATAAGAATAGACAAATCATTCAATAATAGCAATAGTAACTAAAATATCAGTTTGGCTCGGAGCTGACAGTAAAAAATATATAGAGCAAATATAGAGCAAATTTGAGGCTTAGAATAATAAGAGTTATAAAAAAATACCGACTGGGGCTACCAGTGGTGAATTTATCGCATACACGAAATATATCAATCACAATACAACGACACACACAATACTAGGCTATATCTTAACTTAACCCACGTCATGACAGACGGCTCCCTAACCCTAAGCTCAATGGGGAACTAAATAGCTTTTTTGGTGGTGAAGGGAAGATGACGATGAAGGAGTGGCTTGTCACTTTAAAGAACTGGGGCCACAACCACCAGACTGCCCTCCAGAAAACCTCTCAACCCGAAGGGAAAGGAAATCCGAAGGGGGTGACCATGTCGCATGTGGGGTTCGAACCCTCGACCTTCCGATTAAGATAAAAGACACTTAACCAGTCAGCCACACGTGCTTACTTGTAGTTATGGTTGTAAATTTCGTAAATTTTTACATGATCTTTTGATCGATCTTCACTAAACACTACAAAATTAGCAATTTTTTTGGCATTCATGATTCGGCAATTAGGATTCACGTCAGGATTCGGTTTGTTAACAGTCAGGATTCGCAGTCAGGATTCGCAGTCAGGATTCGCAGTCAGGATTCGCAGTCAGGATTCGCAGTCAGGATTCACGTCAGGATTCGGCTTCGTTAACAGTCAGGATTCGCATCAAATTTATCGATGAAAAGTTTCTTTTTTACAACTTTTGCCCAAATTTGATCGACAATTAACAAAAGAAAGTTTCTTGCTTACAATTAGTTTATTTTTTTTCGCCTACAAGCCTGCCAAAGATCAATTGACGATTTTTACTAATTAAGCTTTCTTTTTATTTATTTTTCGCATCTATCGATTTGTAAAGGACGAATGATCCCATTCCGTTCCACTCTCAGCATTAAATACCCGTTTTTCACAAATTTTTTGCACAACTTTTGCGAACTTTTTCTTTTTAAAAGATCCTTGCTCAACTGGAAGAAATTTTCACTCATGCTTTGACGCTTTGTAATTTTGATTCTCCTTTGTCGCCTACTAATTTGCTCGAAAATAAATAAATATGGACATGAGCCACCACTCGAGAATTGAGTCGCAAGTTCAGACTCGACTCGCAGCTCATGTCTATCGTAAACCCTTTATTTCTTACCCAGCCTTGAAGTCTAAACAAGAAGCTATCAAACCCGTCTAAACTATTGTTAATCTATGCAAAGAGATACCAGAAAAGTGTTATTATGTCAAAGGGAAAAGTTGTTTAGAAATTGCACATCTTTTGGTTGAAATCGAATAACAAATGACTTGTTATTCGATTTCAACGATTTCAATTTTTTTTATTAATAATGACCATTTCGAATTTGTTTTCTTTTATAACAAATTTTCCTTTTTGCAGCAATGTGTCTCAATAGTTAATCTATTTATGCAAAAACTGCTTTATTTTTTCTGTGCTATTCGTTGACTTTGGTTCACTTTGGGAAATTGCAAATTTGTGTTGATGAACTTGCACGAATTCTGCTCAAGAACATCAAAACAAAGCAGAACAATTAACTATAGGAATTTAATTTAATTAAACTAGAGGAAAATAACTTTAGGAATGAATGCAGGGAAATATTGTATAAATACTGTCAATTCAAACATGAAAACGCATCTTTGAAACTTTTATTCTCATTTCTAAAAAAACAATTTTTGATGCTTTTAAAAACGGAACGATTTGCCTAAATGAAAAAAAAAATCGTATAAAGATTTATTTAAATAGAAGTTCATAAAGTTTTAAGAAAATTACATAAAATGCTTATAAAAAGTCACTAGCTAAACATTACTTCTGTTTTTGAGGGTACCTGGACTCCGCAGAACTATTTGCGCAACTTTTCTTGCATAAAAATCTTCGAATTTCCATAAAAATCTCAAAATATTTAGAATATTATAAAAAAAAATTACGTAAAATAGTTTTGCGGAGTCCAGACACCCTCAAAAACAGAAGTAATGTTTAGTTAGTGACTGTTGCTATTAATCCTGATTTTTCGCTTTTGCTTTTGGGATCTTGAAGGATGAAAGCATAGGACATACTGAAAAAAAATCTATTTAGAACCGCCTAAAGGCTCAGCTTGTATTTTGTTTTTGGTTTTAAAATGAGATGATAAACTGTAAAAATATGTATTCCTTTTAGTAGAAAACCATTGAGAATTTATTGAACTTCAAGGCTCAAAAAGGCTGAAAAATTTCTAGATCAAGTTTAACCTAATTATTTTGATCGACACACCTGGAGAGCACAGAAGTGATTTGCCAAAACGCGGTGAAGCCAAGAAAAAGTGTGAATGGTGTTGTGAGAAGAAATTGGAAAAACATTACGAAGATGGCGACGACACAAACGATCACATTGGCTTCCATCCAAAATTCAGCAATGTTTTTCAGAGAGATTCATTGTTTTATAAGAGACTTACCTGAATAGCCAATCTGTATTCTCTTTGTATATCCTTGGCTTTTTGATAACTATTTTGATGTTTCTCTTTGTAAAAGGCTTTGTATCGTCGACGCATCAACAAGAACACTGAAAGATCGATGATGACTGTCACCGGCATATAGAAGCCACTTGCAATACCCTGAAAATTTGCATTTTACATGTTTTTAATTCAAGAAGTGGAAGGACTCTGGTGTCAGAGGAGACACAAGTTGGCCTTCATTTATTTTGGTATAAGTTGGTACAAGTTCTATGACTTGGTGGATAAAAGGACTGACATTGGACCTGCTTTGATCCAAGCTCTGAATCACAGTCTGTAAAGATGTGTGCTAATCGATTTCAAACAGAAAATTTCAAGCAAAAAGTCAGGCCAGAAAAGTCTAGAACCAAAAAATTTATAGATTTTTTAAAGAATCTCTAATTCAAGCAAAAAAAGGATTTGATTTAATGAATGGTTAAAAAGTGAAGAAAGTTTAGCATGATAAGGTTTTCTGTTTTTAACAATGTACCACAGTGTAACCGATTAATTGAAAAGCGCATTGTTTTCCGAAAATGAATCGATTGTTTCCATTGGTGAGAAAAGTGACGTTGCAGCCGGCTAAATTGTTTTTCTTCTTGTTAATATCCTATTCAACATACGCAAGAAAAGAGATATCAAAGTTGAAAAAGGATAAATGAACATAATTGCATATTGTAAGAGGGAAAATCGCTCAAAATTTCGATGATATCGACCCGAAAAGGCCAAGGCAAAGATACGATTGATGCCAAGGAAAAGCTGAAATTCATTTCATAAAATCTCTCAGATTTTCTAAAGTGCTTAAAACTTGAACGTAAGAAAATGTGGCTTTGTGAAAATGTGATATTGCGATGAAATCTACCCTTGGGTTATATCCTAATGTCAATGAAGAGTAGGTCAAATTTCCGACAACATTATCGAGAAACGGAAATAGTTCGTTAATATTCCTAAATGTTAAGCATTTAATTGAAAAGAACGATGAAATCCTCACCAAAGCGCACACGGAAAACCCCAGACCAAATGCCCAAAACTGGCGATTGTGAGGCCGATGAGATCCAAGAGAAGATAATGCTTTACTAGACCTAAATCGAAAATGCTTACATTAGCAAAATACTAAAAGCAACATCATGCAAACTTTTTTTAAAAAACATTTTTCAAACGTGCACCTTTCAAATATGAATTTTGATTAACAACATGTATCCCAAGCACGCCAAAACCAACTCCAAAAGAAGATAGCTAAAATTTTGTTTGTTTGGCTTTTTTTATTGAAATTACCATTGCCAAAATAACAATCTCGATCAAATTCCATGAAAAAGTTTCAGTTGGACTTTGGGGCCATGTTGAATTCAAAGAACTCATAAATTGAGGGCAAAAAGCAGGAATCTCTTTGAAAGTTTTTGAAAGTCATACAAAAAAAATTGTAGCTGTGAGGGATTTTGAATGATTTTAATTTTTCTGAAAAAACTTTTTTCTGAAATCCTATTTATTTGGTCAATACCAGTATTGGTACTGATATCGATATTGGTATATTGATTTTTCTGAAAAAACCCATTGGGAAATGCTGAAATGCACTTCCTCTTCACACGGGTGATTGCCAGTGTGTGTAAATAAAGATTATTTCATTAAAAGTAAAGTTTCTAATCCTTTATACTGTAAATCTACAAATAAACTTTTCTTTTCTTTTGTGGAAAAAATCATGAACATAACTTTATTCAACTTACAAACAATTAAGATCTGTGCAAATTAAAAAGCTAGGACACCTAGAAAACAAATGGATGCCTGAAAAATAATGAAATAGGATACAAAAAGAAAATAATTGAAGGTTTTTGGCAAATTGCTAATTTCTGAGTTTTATCTTTGCAGGGGATTGGTTATCATCCCAAAAATCTTCCAATGCTTCACAACAGAAACAACAAACAGCAAACGCCAGTATAGCAAATATCGTTGCAAATTTGACAGTCAACTCCGGGGCAGCCAGCTTTGCGGCGGTGCCGGTTTAAATCCAAAATGACACCGCGTGACGTCCAAAATGATCTCCAAAAAAGCTGAAGTCAAAAACCCAAACGCCGATACAGTCGACTCTCGATATAACGATATGTTCGATATAACGATGGTTATGCTCAGTCCCGGTCGAGCTCCACATAAAATGACTGAAAAAATTCTCCATATAACGATGTTCGGTACTACGATACTCTCTATATAACGATGCGAAATTTGCAATTAATTCGAAAATTTGCATTCGTTTTTGGGGTGCTAGGAAAAGCGCCTCGTTTTTTGCGCCAAAACCCTTTGCACCAATTTACGCTTATGAAAATCACTATAACAAATCACTTTTTCCATGCAAATCAACAAATACTATACAAGATGCTGGTAAAGCAGTCGAAACTTTTGAGAAGTTTTTAGAGCACACCGTACCTCTAAAGCTATGGAGCTTTAAACCCATCCTATTTATTTCTGGATTAAAGGTTTCTAATATTCCAGGCATTTTTACTGCTCAAGATTTGCCAATGGGTAACATTGAAATCGGAGAACTGTAGTTTACTAAACACCTTTTTAAAAGTGCTCTTTTTCGTTAAAGCATCGTAAGCATACCGCGCTAATTCCTAGCAAGAAGAAGCCTATCATGCATTTTGTAAAACTTGCAGGAAACGTTTTGTGTTATGGCGTATTTCTCTTTTTTTTCTTCTTTATTATTATTAAAACTGTTAGCTCAATAATATCTTTCTTTCAGAGCTCGTTTTGCGACATCTACCAAGCGCTAAATTGCTCGAGCAAAATAGCGTAGGTTTGACTCTTCTTGAGCCACGTTTACTTTTTGTGTTTAGTATGATAAAACCACGATCTGAGCTGATGCAGGAGGAGTTGATGGAACAAGAAGAGAAGGAATTCACCGTTAGACCGCTCTCCATCCTCACACAATCCGTTAAGAACAATGCACAGGCTGGCGATTTGTATTTTGATGTAACTTGTCCCATTCATGATGTTTTTCTAGAGTTTAAAAGTTAAGGCACTACATTACGAGCTAAAAACTGTTTCAAAACTTCTGAATTCAGGTTTTGATCAACTGCAGAAACAACCAGAAGCTACTAGGACGTTGAAAGCTTTTGACAGGTAAATCGTTTTTGTGTTCGTTGCAGAATAACTTTAGCCACTTCAATATGGTGCTTGAAAATGTGAAGGAGATGTGGACAGAGCTGCCAAAAACCGGAAAAGGAAAGAAGAAGGGAAGCCAGTCGGGCGTGATCGCTTCACCTCGAAAATGTTTCGCCGGTTTGCTTTTGTTTGTTAAGAGTTCGAACTTGAGATTTAGACTTTGATTAATTAAATCATAGCAGATAAATTTTGCTCTTATCATTATCTATCAAAGACTATCTTACCATGAAGTTAAATTATTGTATTAAAAATTCATTTTAGTGGCGACTCGGTGATTCTGGTGCTCAAGAAAATCTACTCGCACAGCCCGAATAGTGTGCAACTGAGAAAAACTTGGCGTACAGAAACACGGTGTATGTTTGATCCTCACTATTTCATATTTAAATTTTGCCATTCTGATGTTATTGTTGGCCGAATAAACTTTTTTTTCCATGAATAAAAGTGCTTAAAAAAATGGTAATCTACTGGGTGTTCAGTGAAAGAAACTCATTTTTAAACTCGAATTTCCAAAAAGTCTCAATGGTTTTTGAGGGTGGTCATGGTTAAAGTTGTGCTTTTGGCCAATATCAGTATTTACGATATCGATTTAATATCGATATTAGTTTTTCAGAACCGATATTTTTTTGTCAGTACCAATATCAATATACCAATATCGATATCAGTACCAATACTGGTATTGACCAAATAAATAGGATGGGTTTAAAGCTCCATAGCTTTAGAGGTACGGTGTGCTCTAAAAACTTCTCAAAAGTTTCTTTCCTGAGAATAATTGGTTAGCAGACGAAAAGCCGTCTTCAAATTCTTGCGTGGGATTCGCTTTTCAACAATTGATCGCACGATATCTTCAAAGTGATCCGAGCACCGCAATAATATCATGCATTTGATCGAAGTCTTGGCAAAAGCATCGATGTAGAAGTGAAAAGCAGCTACGGAATGACAAAAAAAATCAACGCTTTCGCAGTCATTCATTTGATTCGCAATGAAATTCTCAAAAAGGCTGCTGATCACTTGATTCTGTATTAACAACTCAATGTCTACATGAATAAATGCTTGTATTTCAATCATCGAGCGGAAATTCTCAAGAAATTTTCGGAAATTCGTTTCGTTCGTGGTACCCGCAAAGCCGTCCCCGCAAAGCGTCAAACATTTTACAGGTTGATATTTCAATTGATTCAGAATCATCGCTTGTGTGTCGATGAATTCTTTGGGGCCCAAGTCTATTGACAAGCTGTTACACGAGTGGATTCGTTTCATCAATGGAAAGTGGAGATCGGTATCAAATTGGCGCATATCGCCGTAGTCTTTCTCGATTAGAACCCAACCCCCAGATCCGAAATCCATCCGGGCCACGTGATGTCCAAAAACTATCCAGGGTGTTCGGAGCAGAATCGATCGAAATCCAGCATTCACCTTGATCAATTCAATCGTCTCTTCTGGCAAGGTTTCCTCCAACACCTCTAACTTTAGGTCGTAACAGAGCTTCTCCATCGGGAATGACGTCAGCTTTCGCATTTTGAACCGTAATTTGCTTGGCGTCGTTCTACCTGTAAATAAAAAAGAATTAAATTTGGTGAAAACAATTAGAATTGAAAGAACTAGAATCAGAATGAAAACGATTAAAATGAAAACTTCTAGACAAGATCCTAAATAATCTCTAAATAACTCGGCTCAGGCACCAGGATAACCATGACGAGGAAAAAATTTTAACTCCGAACTACCAAAATCGATCAAAAAGATTGGGGCTTCCTCTTGAAAATAAGAGAAGAAAATGCAAGAATCGCAGCCTGTTCGGATTCTATATTTATTGGCGAATATGCATTTGGCCGGCTAGCTGAGTATCTTTAGCAGAAAAATATTCAGAAAATATTCAGAGCAGATTGTACCCATTGGCGAATCTTATCTTCTTTTTTATACCCATTGGCAAATCTTGAGCAGTAAAAATGTCTGGAATATTAGAAACCTTTAATCCAGAAATAAATAGGATGGGTTTAAAGGCTCAAAGTACTGGATGAAAATCAGGTTCAGAATAAAGCTTCACCTTTCAGAAAACAATTCTCCTCAAGAACTTTTTCAAGTAAAATTCGAATTTAAAACGAAAGCCAAATGAAACTTATAAACTTTTAGTAAGGTCGTTGGCCTAGTTCTAGATGTAGAGTTTTGTAAGAATTGTAGGAATTTTGACCCATCACTCGTAGTTATCTTATCGAACCCTTGTTTTGTGAGAATTGTAGAATTTACTTGCACCACCTGTAGTAATCTTATCGAATCTTTGTGTTCTTAGAATCCAACAATTTCCGTTGCCATTTGTGGAAGTGGGTGGGCCCCGATTTTTGACTTTCCCTTAGACTTCTTGAGTTCCATTCATGAAAAAGCTTTCAAATATTCAAATTATTTCAAGAGTAGTTTTTGTCGCCGTGGGGCAGTCGGGAGCGTGCTTATCTACACCCACGACCCACACGACCCGGGTTCGACCCGGTGTCACTCAATTTTCATTTTTTCAGAATTGTCTTGCCACGTTATGAGATATTTGTGGCCACTAACGCGCCACAAATATCTCATTTTCTGTCTCCTAAACCGTGCCCATTTTTCTGTGGTTTTTCCTTCTTTGCTCACGAGGTTTTACTCCTTCATCTCGAGATTTTCTTTTAGCTAACCTATATGCCTTGTAAATTGTTTTTTGTCATCTGACTGCACTACTTTGAATTTTATTGATCAGAAATCGTATTTTGTGGCCTTTTATACACTTGCTCAGTTCTATCTAGCTAGACCTTCCTTTTAAATGGTGTGCTTACTTTATGTATTTGTCCGTTGTTCTAAAGTTCTTACGTTCTTTAAAACCATTACCTATGAGTGCCCAATTCTTTCTTTTTATCGATACTGGTCGTAGACACTGATGATGAATGTGGATCCGGTGAAAGAAGAAAAGATGGATTGCGTCGATCTGCAAACACCGATGGCTCGAAAGGTAAATTTTTGGTACTTTGGTGGCGGGGGATGCACCAATATTTTTGTTTTTTTTCTTTTGGGGGGCGCTGACCACTAATTGACAGTTTTAGGTTTTCAACTGAAAATCTGACATTTCGACACGTTGAAAATTACACTTTTTGCACTTTAAATGCAAATCACACTATTATTTCGCTAGCTTTCAAAGTTTTCGGGATTCTAGGCTGGTACTAAATGGCGAAATACAACCCTTGTAACTCAAAGTACAAGCTATGACACTATGTTGAACGCCTATGCTAAACTGTCAAATTCGTGCTCAGTGTCCTCGACTACCATTAGAAAAGTGAAAAAATAAAAAAATAGGTGCCCCGCCAACCACCCAAGTCCCAAATTTGTAAAGGCGATTTTAAAGCAAGCCTACTAATATTGGTATGATTAACTTTGAAAGACTGAATATTTCGACCGTCGACGGGAATATCCACTAAAGTTTTTGTTTAGATGAGCAATGAATGGAGTGTCAAGAAATCCTCTACTAGGTCCGAACTAGTCACCGAAGAGATGAGTACTTTATGGCTCAAAAGGTTTCATCGATTGAAACAACACATCATGAATATGATCCATATGCAATTCTTGGCCTTGATGCGGTTGGTGATTCGCAAATTGACTGGTTTTATTTATGGTTTTAGGGTGCAGATGTGGCTGAAGTGAAGAAAAAATATCGTGACCTCTCAAAGAAGCATCACCCTGACAGGTTTGCTTATGCGTACATTTAATATAGGTACCTAAAACCTAATTGCTTGTGTCTAGAATAAGCATGGCCATTTATATTCGATTCAAAATGCTTTTATAAATTTTTAGGGGAGGCGATCCTATCGAATTTGACAAAATTGCTAAAGCATACCAAGCATTGACTGATGATGAGGCAAGGGAAAATTGGGAGAAATATGGAAATCCGGATGGGCCAACAGGTAGTTGGATATCTTCGAAGTCAACCTTATAGGGGTAAAGATTTTCATCAAGCATTTGAAATTTAGCGAAAACGTTTGGAATTGCTCTCCCAAAGTGGCTCGTTTCAAAAGAATACGGTCTCTGGGTGCTCGCTTTTTACGGCTTGATCTTCATGATTGTTTTGCCCGTTGGAGTGGTAAGATTAAAAAAAACACGCCTACCAAGTTGCAATAAGCTATTACTCTATTTTTCATTTAGGGTTTTTGGTGGTATAATTCGATCAAGTATAACCACGACAAAGTGCTTCTGGATACAACGCAATTGTTCTTCTACTTTTTGCATAAAACACCAAAGATGGAGATTAATAGTTGGTTTTTATTTTTACTAATAGACTTCTGTACTCATTTTTAATCCTATCTAGGGATGTTGATGGTTCTTACGGGTGCTTTGGAGGTTTGGAAAGAACACAACAAGGAAATTGTTGAAAGAGAAACTGACGATTTCACTTTACCCACACTGATGAAACATTACCCAAATCTTGGAGAAAACAAGAAGGAAAAACCGCTTTCTTTTCCGTATGCACTAAAGGTTTCTTTTTAATCATAGGTGCTTTAAATATAGATTTTAGGCTAGAATTCTTGCATATGCTTACTTAGGACGCCATGATCTCGAAAATGATGATTTAGATGTCGATCAGAGGTATTTTCAGTTTATAAACAAGTTTTTCTGTCGTACACAAGTTTTATCTTAAAATTTAATGTTTTTTAGTTACTAAGTTCTTAGTTTTTAATTTTTTAGTTACTAAGTTCCAAACAATGAAGACGCTTTTTATCAATTTCAGATTTTCCAGCTTAGCTTAAAAAATTACATTGAAGTAAATCTTTTATGAATGTTTGTAGATACATAATCTCCCGTGTGCTCCGATTGGTTGAGGAAATGATATCTTGTACACAACAACTCACGTTTTACTCACAGGTACATTGAATTTTAGCCCAAAGCTATTCTAATTGATATTTTAGGCTAAAGTTCCCTTTGAAACAATGAAAAATGTTTTCAAGTTGATGCCCATGGAGCCGTGGCCTAGGTAAATAGCGTGTACATAAAGGAAGGAGGAAACAAACAGCGACTTTAAAATCCATCATTTTTCTCAAGGCTTAAAATCTCTTATTTCCATACAGAACCAAAGTAATCAAACGTGATATGTTCAAAGATAAGTAATCTTTTCAAATGACTCTAGGATTTTATTTTCCACTTTAAAACTTACTTATAGGAGTCGGTCTCGGGGGCATCCGAAGCGGAAGATACGAATCGAGAAGATCTTGAGGAAGACCACGAAGAAAGTGATATTGAAGAAGATTGGTCGAAGCCAGACAAAAATCTTTTTGAAACCAAAACAAGAGAAACGCATACCGTTCACGCTCCTTATTACCCGTCAGGTTTTTTTTGCAATTGTTAGCTCTAGTCATGCAATTTTAGAAAAGTTTGAATGGTGGTGGTTGACACTTGCATTCAACGACAAGAAGCAAAGACGCTTGTGTGCTCCGGTTACCCCGTGCAAAACACTTATTGATACTCAAACCGTAAGTTTTTACACCTAATCGTTTAATTCAATTCCTATTTTTAGTTTGACCTGAAGTTCACAGCGCCAGAAGAAAAGGGTGTTTATTCGTTTACATTGGGCGTTCACTCCGACTCGTATATGGATGCCGATTACATGATGGATATCAAGGTTTTACTTGTTATACACTAAACAAATTATTCACTGTATATACAATAAACAAATTATCTCTAGCTTGATGTGAAAGAAGCAAAACAGGCACCGCCCGTCAAATATGAAGACACAGAAGAAGAAGAAGAGCAGGTGAGCTAGTTTTTGTCCTTAGACTGTTTAGTGTTGAAGCATACAGTATGAAAAAGTCGTCTCATAGGAAACAATACTCGAGATTTTATTTTAGATTGAGGCTTCTTCGGATGAAGAATACACGGAGGATGATGATTCTGAATAGAAGACCATTCCACATTTTGCGATCAAATATTTGAATTCAAAACGGCCATTCTCGAATACGTTTAAATTATAGTTGTGATTTTCAATACATTTGCATGGCTTTTCAAAGGTTTTCATTATTTTAAAACGTTTCGTTTTCTGCTTGTGGTTTGAATACTGTGATTCCTTCTGTCTCTTTTTGGTCGGACCTACCAAAACGAAATACCCGAGTATTTCTTATGACATTTCCTGTATTCAGTATCTTATGTGGGTTTATCTCACTCATTCCTTTCTTTTTCTTTGATGAGATATTTATCATCCGTTCTTACTAGGCATTTAGTAGTTACAGGATAAGAAAATTACGATTTCTGCAAATAGGTGGTTTTATCGATCGTGTGATGATTGTGTTTGCTGGGTCAATTTTTCTCTTCTGGGTTTTTTTGGATTGTGCTGTTAATTTCCTACCTATTATTAAAATTACAAATGTCTTTCTTGTTTTCAATTTGGTCATAATGCCACAAACGACAAACCTTTTTCTTACGTAAATAACTCAATGAATTCTAAATAGTGTACTAAAAAAAGTTTTTGGAGTTAAGAAGTTGCGTTTTAAGAAATTGTAAATCGTTCCGTAGAAAGAAAGTGCAAGAGGCAAGACAGTTCAGCCTCCTGTAGCTCCCAACTTCTTGAATGATTCACCGAAAAAACGAAAGACGTGGACAGAAACCTCTCGTACGTCTGTCATCTGTCGGTAGTACCTCTGTCAAATCTTAACGCAGTTGTCCTAAGACTGGCTCGGAGAGAACAGAAACCTCTCGTAGAGTAGCCTCTGAATGCGTCAGCAAACCGTCATTGTCTCTAATTTTACCCAATCTTTCTATGTCCGGTCTAATTCAATGAGGGTTCATGAAGAGAACCAAAAGCTGCTAAAAGTAGATAAAAGAAAATGGAACAAAGTACCAATCAAATTATTATCAACTCCAGGGCCTAGGTGCTCACATCCGACTAGCATCTAGCAACTAACGTCTAGCGACTAGTGAATTTAGGGTGATTTTCGAAAAACGCGTAAATCTACATTAAAATTCGTCCAAAATGTTAAGAACAACAGAGTAAGTCAATTCAACCCCCTAGACTCCGAATTTATAGTTCTTTTTGAAAAGCCACCCAAAAAGCAAGTTAAACGAGCACATTTCAAAAAGCTAACAGTGCCACTCAATGATCAGCATAGTCGATTACCTATAACAAATTTTAAAATTTCTCATTTTCTTCGTCAGAGTACTGACGAAGAAAATGAGAAATTTTAAAATTCTGGATTTTTTAGAATCCCTCATTTTTTTTTTATTAGGTCAACAACCCCCTTATTTCCATACAGAGCCGATTACTTTTAAGGAACCGATAGTCTAGAATAAACTTTTAGGCTGGATTAAAAATCGATACAGAAATGTAAAACAAGAGCACAGACTCGCTCTATCGTTAAACATTGCTCGATGGAGGAAGTATTATATAAGCATAAGCCGAAAAGGTTCCAACTTCATCATCCTCATCGTCATTTCCTTTTTCTGCATTGGGAGAAGCCTCAGATTGAACAATTTGAGTTGCACCAGAAGGGCTTTCATTTGATGTCGATGCGACTACTGCTGCTTTTGACTTTGGCTTCGGCTTTGTGGGTGCTTTCTTTCCACCTTTTCCCTTCGCTTTCTTTGGTTGCTTTTCCCATGCCTTGCGCTTGGGCTAAACATATATTTGTTTTTGGGTTTAACAAGACATTTTATCCAGAACAGTAATGCATACCTTTTTATCTTCTTGCTCCTTTTTATCATCTCCTTCATTTTCATCCCCGGAAATCTAAAGACAAAACATTTTGGGACTATCGTGGCTACACGCGAGATATTTACGTACTAATTTTTTAAGGTTACAATGGCCTCTAATTTTTATCCATTTCCTTTTATCTACTATTATCAGCTTTCGGTTCTCTTCATGAACCCTCATAGAAAGATTGGATAAAACTAGAGACAATGACGGTTTTGCCGACGCATGCAGAGAAACATATCGTATTTCTTTTATTAGAACGACCCCTTTGGAGAATATTGAAAAAATAGAACGGCCTGCTCTAGTAGAATGACCCCCTTCCTTAAGCACTGTTTTTCAGTGCTTAGAACGACCGGTCGTTCTATCAGATGAAATGCGGTACTTCTTTTTTTAAGTTACTCAAACCTTTTCAATATCACTATTGTCATCAAAATCTTTTCGATTATCGTCAGGAATGTTATCCTTATCGAGGAGACTTCGGCGCGTCAATTTCACTTTCAGTGTAACAAGACACTTTGCTGTTACTTCGTGTTTGTCTTCTTCGCCGAGAACTAAAACAAAATTATAATAAAGTCTGGCGTGCTATATAAAAGAGAAGGGAAGGGTCTGTCTGTCCGTTCGTCACACGCGGTTTTCTCAGCGCCCGGATAGAATTTCGGGGTGCACTTTTTTGTTTGATTGGTAATATTAAGCTGGCGCCTAAAAAATTAGAAAATTTCATCGCTTATTTTTTAAAAAGCTAAAAACTGCTAAACCACGCCCCTTTTTTGGCTCGGTGGTCTACCGGAGAGAGGACGTGGCCGAGGCGGTTGGCGTTTCGTCTGAGGAACGATCGCCCCAGGGGGTGCTAGCGCCCCAGTATAGATGTCGGCATTGCTGCGGAGGGAATCAGGGTTTGGCCACGATATTGCTTTTAAGTATGCGTGGTACAGGGTTCTCGGAAGGCTGCGGGCGCCCTTTAACTCAAGAGATCACTATGCATCAGCCTCAAAACCTGCCACTAGGCGAGTCTTTCGGCTGGTACTTTATATAAAATACCTTCAAATGATGTTTCAATTTGCAGCTGTGGCATGGATGACAGAACAACAAGTACATCTCGGTATTGGTAATCACTCAACGAGTTCAAAACCTAAACTTAAATGTAAGGATGATCGGGTTATAGCATACTTCAAGATTAAAAGATTCTAATAAGTAATTATAAAAGCTCTTGAAACGCTCCCTCTACAAAAAATCAAAAGAAAAGGTAGTCTAGCTTAAAATAAACTTGCCTGCCGTCTTTTAACATCATCTAGCCTTGCGAGTTGGGCACAGGTGTGGACTTTATTCTGGAATTTTCATTATACGTCCAAAACAGACACAAACTTACTCTTTTAATGAAGCCAAGATTTTGCTCGCCAATGTGAGGTAACTGAAGTAGAGGTGAATACTTTGGCCATAATGCTTGTGTGAACATGGGCATCAACTTGAAAACATTTTTCATTGTTTCAAAGGGAACTTTAGCCTAAAATATCAATTAGAATAGCTTTGGGCTAAAATTCAATGTACCTGTGAGTAAAACGTGAGTTGTTGTGTACAAGATATCATTTCCTCAACCAATCGGAGCACACGGGAGATTATGTATCTACAAACATTCATAAAAGATTTACTTCAATGTAATTTTTTAAGCTAAGCTGGAAAATCTGAAATTGATAAAAAGCGTCTTCATTGTTTGGAACTTAGTAACTAAAAAATTAAAAACTAAGAACTTAGTAACTAAAAAACATTAAATTTTAAGATAAAACTTGTGTACGACAGAAAAACTTGTTTATAAACTGAAAATACCTCTGATCGACATCTAAATCATCATTTTCGAGATCATGGCGTCCTAAGTAAGCATATGCAAGAATTCTAGCCTAAAATCTATATTTAAAGCACCTATGATTAAAAAGAAACCTTTAGTGCATACGGAAAAGAAAGCGGTTTTTCCTTCTTGTTTTCTCCAAGATTTGGGTAATGTTTCATCAGTGTGGGTAAAGTGAAATCGTCAGTTTCTCTTTCAACAATTTCCTTGTTGTGTTCTTTCCAAACCTCCAAAGCACCCGTAAGAACCATCAACATCCCTAGATAGGATTAAAAATGAGTACAGAAGTCTATTAGTAAAAATAAAAACCAACTATTAATCTCCATCTTTGGTGTTTTATGCAAAAAGTAGAAGAACAATTGCGTTGTATCCAGAAGCACTTTGTCGTGGTTATACTTGATCGAATTATACCACCAAAAACCCTAAATGAAAAATAGAGTAATAGCTTATTGCAACTTGGTAGGCGTGTTTTTTTTTAATCTTACCACTCCAACGGGCAAAACAATCATGAAGATCAAGCCGTAAAAAGCGAGCACCCAGAGACCGTATTCTTTTGAAACGAGCCACTTTGGGAGAGCAATTCCAAACGTTTTCGCTAAATTTCAAATGCTTGATGAAAATCTTTACCCCTATAAGGTTGACTTCGAAGATATCCAACTACCTGTTGGCCCATCCGGATTTCCATATTTCTCCCAATTTTCCCTTGCCTCATCATCAGTCAATGCTTGGTATGCTTTAGCAATTTTGTCAAATTCGATAGGATCGCCTCCCCTAAAAATTTATAAAAGCATTTTGAATCGAATATAAATGGCCATGCTTATTCTAGACACAAGCAATTAGGTTTTAGGTACCTATATTAAATGTACGCATAAGCAAACCTGTCAGGGTGATGCTTCTTTGAGAGGTCACGATATTTTTTCTTCACTTCAGCCACATCTGCACCCTAAAACCATAAATAAAACCAGTCAATTTGCGAATCACCAACCGCATCAAGGCCAAGAATTGCATATGGATCATATTCATGATGTGTTGTTTCAATCGATGAAACCTTTTGAGCCATAAAGTACTCATCTCTTCGGTGACTAGTTCGGACCTAGTAGAGGATTTCTTGACACTCCATTCATTGCTCATCTAAACAAAAACTTTAGTGGATATTCCCGTCGACGGTCGAAATATTCAGTCTTTCAAAGTTAATCATACCAATATTAGTAGGCTTGCTTTAAAATCGCCTTTACAAATTTGGGACTTGGGTGGTTGGCGGGGCACCTATTTTTTATTTTTTCACTTTTCTAATGGTAGTCGAGGACACTGAGCACGAATTTGACAGTTTAGCATAGGCGTTCAACATAGTGTCATAGCTTGTACTTTGAGTTACAAGGGTTGTATTTCGCCATTTAGTACCAGCCTAGAATCCCGAAAACTTTGAAAGCTAGCGAAATAATAGTGTGATTTGCATTTAAAGTGCAAAAAGTGTAATTTTCAACGTGTCGAAATGTCAGATTTTCAGTTGAAAACCTAAAACTGTCAATTAGTGGTCAGCGCCCCCGAAAAGAAAAAAAAACAAAAATATTGGTGCATCCCCCGCCACCAAAGTACCAAAAATTTACCTTTCGAGCCATCGGTGTTTGCAGATCGACGCAATCCATCTTTTCTTCTTTCACCGGATCCACATTCATCATCAGTGTCTACGACCAGTATCGATAAAAAGAAAGAATTGGGCACTCATAGGTAATGGTTTTAAAGAACGTAAGAACTTTAGAACAACGGACAAATACATAAAGTAAGCACACCATTTAAAAGGAAGGTCTAGCTAGATAGAACTGAGCAAGTGTATAAAAGGCCACAAAATACGATTTCTGATCAATAAAATTCAAAGTAGTGCAGTCAGATGACAAAAAACAATTTACAAGGCATATAGGTTAGCTAAAAGAAAATCTCGAGATGAAGGAGTAAAACCTCGTGAGCAAAGAAGGAAAAAACCACAGAAAAATGGGCACGGTTTAGGAGACAGAAAATGAGATATTTGTGGCGCGTTAGTGGCCACAAATATCTCATAACGTGGCAAGACAATTCTGAAAAAATGAAAATTGAGTGACACCGGGTCGAACCCGGGTCGTGTGGGTCGTGTGGGTGTAGATAAGCACGCTCCCGACTGCCCCACGGCGACAAAAACTACTCTTGAAATAATTTGAATATTTGAAAGCTTTTTCATGAATGGAACTCAAGAAGTCTAAGGGAAAGTCAAAAATCGGGGCCCACCCACTTCCACAAATGGCAACGGAAATTGTTGGATTCTAAGAACACAAAGATTCGATAAGATTACTACAGGTGGTGCAAGTAAATTCTACAATTCTCACAAAACAAGGGTTCGATAAGATAACTACGAGTGATGGGTCAAAATTCCTACAATTCTTACAAAACTCTACATCTAGAACTAGGCCAACGACCTTACTAAAAGTTTATAAGTTTCATTTGGCTTTCGTTTTAAATTCGAATTTTACTTGAAAAAGTTCTTGAGGAGAATTGTTTTCTGAAAGGTGAAGCTTTATTCTGAACCTGATTTTCATCCAGTACTTTGAGCCTTTAAACCCATCCTATTTATTTCTGGATTAAAGGTTTCTAATATTCCAGACATTTTTACTGCTCAAGATTTGCCAATGGGTATAAAAAGAAGATAAGATTCGCCAATGGGTACAATCTGCTCTGAATATTTTCTGAATATTTTTCTGCTAAAGATACTCAGCTAGCCGGCCAAATGCATATTCGCCAATAAATATAGAATCCGAACAGGCTGCGATTCTTGCATTTTCTTCTCTTATTTTCAAGAGGAAGCCCCAATCTTTTTGATCGATTTTGGTAGTTCGGAGTTAAAATTTTTTCCTCGTCATGGTTATCCTGGTGCCTGAGCCGAGTTATTTAGAGATTATTTAGGATCTTGTCTAGAAGTTTTCATTTTAATCGTTTTCATTCTGATTCTAGTTCTTTCAATTCTAATTGTTTTCACCAAATTTAATTCTTTTTTATTTACAGGTAGAACGACGCCAAGCAAATTACGGTTCAAAATGCGAAAGCTGACGTCATTCCCGATGGAGAAGCTCTGTTACGACCTAAAGTTAGAGGTGTTGGAGGAAACCTTGCCAGAAGAGACGATTGAATTGATCAAGGTGAATGCTGGATTTCGATCGATTCTGCTCCGAACACCCTGGATAGTTTTTGGACATCACGTGGCCCGGATGGATTTCGGATCTGGGGGTTGGGTTCTAATCGAGAAAGACTACGGCGATATGCGCCAATTTGATACCGATCTCCACTTTCCATTGATGAAACGAATCCACTCGTGTAACAGCTTGTCAATAGACTTGGGCCCCAAAGAATTCATCGACACACAAGCGATGATTCTGAATCAATTGAAATATCAACCTGTAAAATGTTTGACGCTTTGCGGGGACGGCTTTGCGGGTACCACGAACGAAACGAATTTCCGAAAATTTCTTGAGAATTTCCGCTCGATGATTGAAATACAAGCATTTATTCATGTAGACATTGAGTTGTTAATACAGAATCAAGTGATCAGCAGCCTTTTTGAGAATTTCATTGCGAATCAAATGAATGACTGCGAAAGCGTTGATTTTTTTTGTCATTCCGTAGCTGCTTTTCACTTCTACATCGATGCTTTTGCCAAGACTTCGATCAAATGCATGATATTATTGCGGTGCTCGGATCACTTTGAAGATATCGTGCGATCAATTGTTGAAAAGCGAATCCCACGCAAGAATTTGAAGACGGCTTTTCGTCTGCTAACCAATTATTCTCAGGAAAGAAACGCCCCAATCATCGACCTTCTTTCTCAATTCCCTGGAATAAAGCGATTTGACGGAAAAAATAAGCAAGAAGTCATCGAAATGTTGGGGGAACTCGGGAGAAAGCATCTGGAGCCGCTTGCTCTCACGAACATTATATTTTTTCAACGAAAAATTGACTCGAGTATGGACTATGTCTACATGTTGTCATCGAGTTTTTTTCATACAGGCTTTTTCGCCTTCTATGTTCAGCCACGATCGGAAATGATGGAGTCTTGAGAGTTTTCATTGGATTTTGTACAATTTTCTATTCATTGTCAAAATCTTCTGGGCAGCCGGCACAGAAATCGTCAAAAAGAATCGATCTTTTTTTGTTGTAAATTGCTGCTTCTTTTTGTGTAACGCATTGTTTGTCAAATTTTCCTCAAAATTTCAATCATCATCTTTTTTGGTCAAAAATAAATTTTTATAAATAACCAATTAAAAGTGAAATCAAAGAAAATAAGCAAGACAAGCTAAGGAATCGGATACACATCGGATGGAGAACGGAGGGATGCCGTATCGTCTCCACTCTTGCTTGGTTTTATTAGATGTACAAGATTTCATTGAAGTTGTTGAATTATGTAAGAAACTGAATCGCGTCTAGGTTGTTAAATGGGAGAGTCAGGCCAGGACCCTGGATCTGGTTTCTGGATATTTTGCTTGACTCTACATGGGTATAGAAATTTTAGACTGAATTACCAAATTATGGGCCGCACACAACCTGTGTGAAATATTGAATATTTTACGTAGATCGACGGACGCGATAAAAGGAGTAACTCTGTATTGAACTCGATAAAAATTCTTGATTGGATGAATTTCATCATTCCCGATTGTAGTGGAAGGTAGAAGGCAGAAAAAGTGGTGGTGAATGGTGGAAGCAATGAGATTCTCACAACTTGAACCATCTTTCTTTCGTTGCTATTTCTGTGTCTCTCAATTGGAATAATATATGACCAGCCGAATTGTGGAATGTTGGGCTATGTTGACGGCTTCGGTGCGTTATAAACATTTATTTGATCGGCCCTATATCGGATGGTGGTAAAGTGTTTTTGGTGAATAGGAAATCATGAAATCGGAAAAAGCTCAAAAAACACAAAAAATTTGCTAGACGAAAAAACTTTCCACACCATGGCTAGGGTTCTACTTTTGGTCAATACCAGTATTGGTACTGATATCGATATTGATATATTGATATTGGTACTGACAAAAGAAAATATCAATTCTGAAAAGCTAATATCGATATTAAATCGATACCGTAAATACTGATATTGGCCAAAAGCACAACTTTAACCATGACCACCCTCAAAAACCATTGAGACTTTTTGGAAATTCGAGTTTAAAAATGAGTTTCTTTTACTGAACACCCAGTAGATTACCATTTTTTTAAGCACTTTTATTCATGGAAAAAAAGTTTTATTCGGCCAACAATAACATCAGAATGGCAAAATTTAAATATGAAATAGTGAGGATCAAACATACACCGTGTTTCTGTACGCCAAGTTTTTCTCAGTTGCACACTATTCGGACTGTGCGAGTAGATTTTCTTGAGCACCAGAATCGCCGAGTCGCCACTAAAATGAATTTTGAATACAATAATTTAACTTCATGGTAAGATAGCAGATAAATTTTGCTCTTATCATTATCTATCAAAGACTATGATTCAATTAATCAAACTCTAAATCTCAATTTCGAACTCTTAACAAACAAAAGCAAACCGGTGAAACATTTTCGAGGTGAAGCGATCACGCGCGACTGGCTTCCCTTCTTCTTTCCTTTTCCGGTTTTTGGCAGCTCTGTCCACATCTCCTTCACATTTTCAAGCACCATATTGAAGTGGCTAAAGTTATTCTGCAACGAACATAAAAACGATTTACCTGTCAAAAGCTTTCACACGTCCTAGTCGCTTCTTGTTGTTTCTGCAGTTGATCAAAACCTGAATTCAATTCTAAATGTAGTGCCTTAACTTTTAAACTCTAGAAAAACATCATGAATGGGACAAGCTACATCAAAATACAAATCGCCAGCCTGTGCATTGTTCTTAACGGATTGTGAAAGGATGGAGAGCGGTCCAACGGTGAATTCCTTCTCTTCTTGTTCCATCAACTCCTCCTGCATCATCCCAGATCGTGGTTTTATCATACTAAACACAAAAAGTAAACGTGGCTCAAGAAAAGTCAAACCTACGCCATTTTGCTCGAGCAATTTAGCGCTTGGTAGATGTCGCAAAACGAGCTCTGAAAGAAAGAGATTATTGAGCTAACAGTTTTAATAATAATAAGGAAGAAAAAAAGAGAAATACGCCATAACACAAAACGTTTCCTGCAAGTTTTACAAAATGCATGATAGGCTTCTTCTTGCTAGGAATTAGCGCGGTATGCTTATGATGCTTTAACGAAAAAGAGCACTTTTAAAAAGGTGTTTAGTAAACTACAGTTCTCCGATTTCAATGTTACTAACTAGTGCTCACATGTGCCCTCTATTGAGCGATATGGAAAATTGAAATCGACTGTATAACTTGAAAAACGAGTGAACAAACGTCATTTTTACCGTAACTTACTTTTTTATATAGGAATTTTGAGATCCATCGGAAAGTCACACCCTTTCGAAAATATTTCACAATTTCGTACAAATTCTTATAGCTAAACGTAAAATATAACAAAATACAAATGCAAAACACACTGTTTCGCGTCACTACCGCTGCATGATTCCCCTTTGACCAGTTTGTGCATATTCGCAACCAATTGGCCAGAGTCCGAAAACAAGTATATTTCTTTCTCACTAAATAAACAAAGTTTTTTACATATATATATATATATATATATTATAAAACTATTATAAAAATGAATAATGCTTGCTTCTGGTCCTTCAAAAAAAGATAAAGCAGAGCTATGGTGGCCGCATGAGCTTCGGCTGCGTCTGACCTTTCTGGCTCGACGTAGTCACTGATGTCCAGGGCACTAAATTTATGAAAATTTCTCAACTTTTATTAGCTAATTTAAACAAATAAACCGTATTTTATTAGACAAAAAGACTAATATTTTCAGGAACAATCTAAACTATTTTTTACCAGCTATAATATTCGGTACTATAGTCATAGCATAAAAAACTTACATATTCCACAAATCCTTGGCATCTCGGCCTGGCTCCTTAATCCAAGCGCCAATTCCGGTTTTCTCACCTCGACAAGCCGCGTCGGTATGTATTATCAACGCGGGCTAAAAAATCTCATGAGTTTAACTTTAAATAAAAAGGTACCTCGGTGGAATGAACTTGACGATTTGATGATCCTTGCCAGACGATGAACCTCCCAGAATCTAATATTAAATTTAAAGTAAAAAACATTAAAGTAAAATCAGAAAAGGGTTCACAATTGAGCGCGCCTGTTGGACCCAGCAATTTGAAGTATCCAAGCGTTTCGGTTTAGAAGAACCATCGTTTGCCGCTTGTGCGGGTCGCTTTCTGTCTTGTTTCTCCTTCTCGTCTTTCCCATCTCCACCGGCTCCTTGCCGTTTTCCTGCAAAAAAAAAATTAAAAGCACGTAACTAGTAAAAACCAAAATTAAGAAACATGGCAATCGTTAACTTTAATGCTTTTACATTTTCTGATAAGTAGGCCTAAAACATTCGCAAAATTAAAAGAAAGAACCATCTTTCTTGCGTTGATATTTCTTTCCGCTTTTCATTTGAAATCATTCTTTTCTCCTTTTAACGTTGGCATTGCCACTGACCTAGAAAGAGAAAGAAAAACAGAAAGTTATCCAAGTGACAAAAAAGAGATAAGCGAACGAGTTTGAATGACGAACAAATAGTTTAAATCGAACAAACAAATCTAAGAAAAGATATCAAGAAAATAAATCAAAATCATCTTGGGAATGCGGAAATGTGTAGAAAACCGAGACACTAAATATTTTGGAAATTATAGATGGGAAAGTTTACCATTCCACCATCATGGTACAAATCCTCTTGCATATTGAACGGGACGATTGAACAGACTCGGGGTATCACCTCGTGGAGTACTGATTCGAATACAAGATCCAAAAAGTTTGACCCCTACCTTCAATATTTATCTTCATCTCGGCCAAAAGGTGCATATTCGGGGTGCTAGCAAATCCTTTGCGCCAATTTCATTTGCGCCAAAAATTTTTGCGACACGTACAGTGCCGAGCAAAAGTCTTGCAACCTCACTTTTTCAAAAAATCGATGAAATTTTTTTATAGAAAATGCCACCCGTTCGTAGGGCTTTTTTTATTTTTAATTAGAATAATACATGCACACTTTATTTACAAAAACAAATTTGAAGTTCAGCGTAAAACAAAAAAGTAAATGACAAAACTACTAAAAAATACCCTAAAAACTGGGTGCAAAAGTCTTGCAACATTATACCGAAACATCAAAAATTAATATTCAATCGGTCCACCTTTTGCCAAAATCACTTCATTAAGTCGTTTAGGCATTGGGTCGACTAATTTGTGAAGAATTGCTGGGCGAATTAAGCTCCAAACTTTTCGTATGTAGAACCATAAGTCAACTTTTGTGTGAAAGTCTTTTCCTCGTAACTTTGCCTTCACGTAAGCCCATAGATTCTACATAACGTTCAAATCGGGCGACATAAGGGGCACATTGATGAACGAAACATTATTAAGGACAAACCATCCAGAAAAATGAGCTTGTCCTCCATTCGAGAGTTCCACTGCGCGACCTACCAGGAGCTTGCTCTAGTGAACTGGCGTATTGTCCTGGTAGAGAAACCATCCAGGACCCATGTGATCCTGAGCAAATGGAAGTAGACATCCTTCTAGTATTTCCATATACTGGCGAGCATTCATGGTTGACTGGACGAGGACGAGCGGACCTGCCACATTTTTTGTCAGTTCAGTCTTCAACCATTCCAGGTTGTCATCTCGTTCAATCCTGAGAGCGAGAATTCAACCCATCACAAGGAAAATCTCCAAATCTCTTTTCCAAAAACTCATCAAATTGAAGCATTTTTGAAATGAATTTTAAACTCTAGTATTTCAGGTTCCGCTTTAGTTCAATTATAAACTATTTCGGGAATTGAACAGATAGATTCCTTTTCCTTTTCTGCTAAAATTCCGCGTTCCTTTTTTGTTCCGAAAGCAATCACATGCCAATTTTCGGCTTTTTTTTCTGTCCAGCTTTATGTATTTCCGAAAAACTAAATATCAACTAAATTTCCAAGTAAAATGTTTTCATTTAAAGTTTGCAAAGTGTTGAAAAGGTTTTACATTTAATTTCATCCGCTCAAATCCCTTTGGAGTGTTGTTTTTACGAAAATCCCCGTTGTTTTCCTGTCTTTGAACATCGGCCATCGGCTCTAGAAGAATTGCTGGCTTTGGAATTGCTGGAAAAAATGTACAACTATTCAAATGTACAACTTGTCTAATCTCACTTCAACGGAAACGGAACCTCTGGAAATTTTTGAGCAAAAGCTTCTTTTGAACTTTCTGAATGAAACTAGCGTCTCTGCAAAGTTGTCCAATTCACCAGTTAAAGGCTGTGGGATTTGGTTTCGATGATTTCCCCTGATCTGGCCAGAGAACGAGCTTTTGTATATGTTTTTAAGCGTATTTTTTATCATGTGATGATTCATTTTCACCAATTTCCATGATTTTTTCCCCTCAAAACAACCTTTGTACCATAAAAGAACATTTGAACATTTGAAACCCATCAAAAAGCGGCGGAACTCATTTGTAGCTGGAGTTTGGCTAAAAAAAGTAAAAAAAAAAACTTCAATATTAGGTACAGCTGTTAAATCAGAATTTTCGGATCGTTACAATGTCCATTTTTAGTCGAGAAACTGGACAATTCCAAAAGCAGCTTTTCAATTACAACTAGGTAGGACAAAGAATCACAAAGATCAGCCTAAAATTCGAATTTTAATCTAAAAATGGACCTTTCCAATCTCAAAAATTAAATGTTTTCAAATTTCAAAACCTATTTCCTTGGAGACAACGAACGGCTTATTTTCACCTTTTTGTCAAAAATCACAGTTTGAAAACGTTTCAAAAGTTGGACTACAGTCGACGTTTTTATAATTCTTTTTGTGACTCATTGTCAGTTTTTTCTTGCCTATCTTTACATATCTTCTTTTTAATTCAAATCATATTCAGATAATATCTGATGAGCTTCGATGTTCAACTACTGAATGCTCACTATATTTGGTTCCCAAATCCTTATGTCTATTACAATTTCACGGTAGATACACCGATTGCAAGTGAGGGGGATCGAAGAGTGAGTTTTCAAAGAAAATTTCTATCAATTATCTATTTGTTTAGCTCTATGGCCTTTGTAAACTTTTTATTATCGCTTTTCTTTCTTGCACTACAACTTGCATATTTGTTGGTGAGTGGGATTCCTCCAGATTGTAGTGAGGGGACTTGTAAATGAGTAGACTGTGAGCCTCTTGAGTAGACTGTGAGCCTCAAATGCTTTCTAAAAGTGCAGAATTATAGTAGCTTACTATTAGATTACGGTAGCGGGACTATCAGGAAACGGTAGCTTTAATCCATCGCTTTTAAAAACACTTCTACTGAGAAGAACACACTCTACTGGTAGATGACTGAGGAAAGTATAGCTTTTTTGATTACAGTGATCAATAGGATTCAAAATAACAATTTGTCAATTGATAATCAAAATACTTTTACTCTTTTAGACACTAAGAAAGCGAAGAGGCTACGCGTCGAACTTTTCCTTCACTCTTTTATATTACATCGGAGTCATCGACACACTTCAACTAATCGGACATATTGTTGCTGGCTTCATGCTCATAACACTCATGAGTAGCTCAGAAGTCATTTATGTAAGGAAAAGGTGATCAATTTTCATACCTTGTTTCAGATCTTTGGTGCTATTCTAGAAGGTGGATATATCTCAACGGGTTTTTTGACAATTGCACTTCCAATTCATCGAGCTGCTTATATTATGTTTCCTTTCAAAGCTGATAGAATATTTCACCCAGTTCTTTTGAAAGTAATGCTTATGAAAGATATCTTTGCATTTAAATTTAGATCATACTCGGTCTTTACCTTGTCTTTTCTCTCTTTGCATTTGGCTATTTCTTCAATAAAGATGCTGGGAATACGTACATACCGGAATTGGTATATATCTACTATATATAAAGGGACTAAGACGTCTGTCTATCTGTCTGTCTGTTTGCCTGTCTATCTGTTTGCCTGTCTGTTTGCCTGTCTGTCTGTATGTCTGTGCGCACTACTCCTCAGCCCCCAGTGGACCGTTTCCAATGATTTATAGTTAGTTTGACTTAGAATCTCATGTAGTTGTGCAACATGTTTTTAAATTTTTAAAAAATCAAAAGTGCCGACGCGAGCGGGAGTCAAACCCGGGTTGTGTGGGCTAGAGACAAGTGCGCTCGCACTGCGTCGTCTACTAGAGCATGGCTGAGTGGTTAACGCGCTTGGAAGAGAGAGGTTGCGGGTTCGACTCCTCTCGCTGCCGATTCTTTTGATTTTTGCTACGAATTTGGTGTTTTGAATAAACTAAATGATAATTGATAAAATTGATATCTTTCTGAAATTGATATCTTTCTTGTAAATCAAACACATTCAGGTCTATTGGACTTTCATCTACAACCATGACAAGCCGGATTTGAACAGTTACATGAGATTCTTTGAAGAATGGAGTACTCTGGCTCCAATCATTATCGGTGCCGTTCTTTATTCGCTTATCATTGCCAAGCTTTCGTTTCGCGTTTGTTAAGAGACATTTTCATTCATTGTGGTTACTGTTTAGATAGGGAAATATTCCAAGAAAGAAATCAAGTTGACAGCTCAAGTATTTGCGGTTCTTTTGGTTAATGCCTTCACGTATATCTATTGGTATCATATCACTGGATATGTGAGTTATTCAATAGCTGAATGACAAATCAAACAACAAACAAAAACAAAATTTTACTTTGTAACAAATCAACAACAACCGATTTCAGGTTTACACAACCCAACAAAAATTCTTCTTGCGATTTATCGCGGACATTGTTTGGGTACTGTACAATGGAATGAATCCAGCTATTTACTATATCTTCCACAAGTAAAGTCTGAAAAAGATGGCTCAAAGCGCTTTTTTAGGGATATTCGTCATCAAATGAAATTCTTGTTGACATTAAAATGCATCAACACAACTCAAATGACAGTTGACACTGTTTCCACATCGGTTTGTCTTTTGCATAAGAAATCTTGAGTTAACTAGTCGAATCTGTGTTTGATTTTGAATGTTTTAAACGTTTGATCTTCTATTCCTATGGTAGTAATAGAGATTTTCAAAATTTTGGATATCTTTAACAATAAATTCAAAAACATGTCCCTTTTTTAGCTGCCAGGAAATGGCAAATGGTATTATTTTTGTTTGTTTAACCATTTCTATCTGTGTTCTTGTCTTATATTCTTTGTCTAGCAATTTTGCTTGTGTTTTTCATGTTAAAATTGCCAAGACAATCAGCTTAATCTGAAATGATAAAATGAGCATTTCCAGCTTCCATCAGTCACTCACCCAGCAACAACGATGAGATCCCGAAACACAGCCCCTTCACAAGTTCAATCAACAATTCCTAGAAATCGTGCCTAAAAGTTTTGATTTGTAATAAAGATTCTATTTGTTTCAATTTGCTAAAAAGTAATGTCTATTTTAAACGAGCTGGAAACGAAAAATCACAGTTCCAACATGAAAAAGTGTAAAAAACAAATGTTTAATTTGGGTAGAAATGGATAGAAGAGAAAGTGGAAATTATCGATCCTAATTGAATCGTTCTATCCGCCTTTCATTTTTAAAAAAACTTTGCGTGTTTTGAAAAGGAATGAAGCCAAGCGTTGGGGAATACTCAAAGAAGGGAATACTTTTTTTGCGAAAATTGTTGTGAAAGGTCAATTTTAAGTAGCTCACAAAAATCCGGTACTCTTGCACTTTAAAGGATGAACAATAGCCTTGCAAGTTCGATAAAGCTTCGAGATTCGAGTAAGATTTCAAGTGATCGAACAAAAATACAAGTAAAGCGCAAGAAACGAGGCCGAGTTACTTTCGCCGCCTTTATTTTCCTTTTTCGATGATCCATTTCATCCAAAAATGAGCCAATGCTTTTTTGGAACTGATAATTTGGCTTTAACCAATGTGAACTGAAGTCAAAGATGAAAATTGAGAAGATTGAAGTGAAAGAAAAGACTAGATTTGGGTGAAGGTGCTGAAATTGAATGCTCTTAAAGTAATAGTTAAAATAAACCGTAGAGAAATAACTCTTATGCTATCGTTAAAGTTAAAAGCAGGGTGGCTTTCAGATCATTTACAATGGAACTCTGTTACTCGGATCTTCATTTTCTTGATGGATCACTAAAGACATATTTCTTTTCTGTTATTTTTGGCAAAGAATCCTAGCAAGAATCTTCGGTCATGAAGTGCTCGGAATTGTGGATATGTTGAAGATGAAGTAAAACATTCAAAACAGTTTGTGCTTATTGTAAGATATTACACAAAACATAACCAAAGCACCGTTAGATTATTTTACTTTTCATCTTAGGTAACCAACAGAAAACTGAAAAGGTAATCAGAAGCATGTGGGAGACGCCGCCCTTAAAACAAACGCCATATAATCATCGAGGCAAATCATACATAATTTGCACCTTTTTTATGACCCCGTACTGGGGCATGTGCCAAAAAGCGCGCGTTTATACATCCAACTAGAGATCCCAACTAGTGGTAAATCGGCGGCGTCGGCGTTTCCAATTTTAACGAAAACTGTAACATTTTAGATATCTTTCATCCGATTCCCCTAATAGCCCTTGATTCAAGCCTTCGATTCCGACCCTAAATCAATAGTCTAATTTCAACGGGTGAACAGATTTCGATCCTTTTTTGAGTCCATAATGGCCATCATTCAAGCTTTCGATTCCGACACCTCATCAATATCCTAACTTCAACGGGTGAACAGATTTTTCCGTTTAGCACAACATTTAAAGCTACCGTAATCTTATCTCTTGTATCCAATTTATCTACTTTTAGCCTGATTCGGTGTTGATTTGTGGAAAAGATCGGTAAAAAAATAGGTATAACTAGAAGAAAGGTTATGCTAGCTTTTGAAAGTTGACACTTTTTAGAAAGCCTAGTAATTGTAAACCCCCAATTACGATTAGTTTATTGAAGATTCAGCTTGTTTCTATTTCTAAATTTGATTCATTCACTTCACCCAATGTTCTGTCAAATTTAAACGACATTCACTTCACCATATTTTTCTTAATGAACGAGAAGTCTTCTGTTTCTACAATTTTCTTTTCATTCTTTGACTTTGTTTCTTTATGAAATTATGGGTTTGGACACAGAATCGAATAATTTCACACTTGAAAAAGGAAGGCTTTTTTTGAAATGTCATAAATTATGGGGAAGAAGAAAATTTTCTTCTTTATAAACCTTCTTATATTCCCCTAGGTGAATGTGGCTTTTTGGTGCTTCTTTTGGTTTCAAAATTTCGCAAATTGGCACTGATTTTTAAATTGCAAATCTTTTGAAGAATTTGTATTTTAAGAGAGCAAGTATCCAATTCTTTTGAGATTTTGAGAAAAGGTGTGACTTGGTTTAAAGTCAATTTACTCATAAATCATTTGATTTTCAAATCTTTCTTTTCATCAGAATTATATCAGTTTCCAAAAACCCAATTTTCAGCTGTCAATGGGCTTTGATACGAGGTTATTGGAGGTAAAATACCTCTATTTTCCCAATCCTTATGTCTACTATAACTTCACAAATGAGACAATGATTGCAAGTGATGGACAAAGAGTGGTGAGCTGAACACCAACTTCTTTACAATCAGCATTTCTTTTTCAGCTTTATGGTGCCTCGAAATTCACCTTAGCCATCATTTTGTTCATCTTTCAAATCGCTTATTTGATGGTTTTCTATTGAAATCAATTTCCATAACCATTTCTTTTATAGACATTGAAACGCCGAAAAGGCTATGGATCAAACTTCTCATTCACACTTCTCTTTTACATTGGAATTGCGGACTTTTTCCAATTACTTGCCCATATTGTGAGTGCTTTTATGCTGATGACATTGATGAGCAGTTCGGAGTATACTTATGTGAGGATAAAAGAAATAATAGAAAGCATTAACCTTCATATTTAGATGATGGGATCATTCCTCGAGGCTGGCTTCTTTATCCCCGGCTATATGACAATGGCTCTTCCCATTCACCGAGCCATGCATATCATCTTTCCGACTACCACCGAGAAATACATTAGACCAAATATGTTAAAAGTTTGTTAGTTTCAAGTACTTAACTTACCGTCTTTTATTATAGGGAGTTCTTGTCCTTTATCTAATTTTCGCTATCATTTCGTTTGGATATTTTTGGAACAGTGATGCCGGCATTGCTTACATTCCTGAATCGGTATTGTAAAAATGATTTAGTTCTAGACCAGATTTACTTCCAGGTTTATTGGGGCTTCACTTATAACCGAAACAAGAGCGCTCTCAACACCTATATGAGAATTGTCGAGGAATGGAGTGTCCTTGCACCAATCGTTGTCGGAGCTATATTCTATGCGCTCATCATTTTCACAATCTGCTACAAGGTATTAGAATACAGCGACGCAGACACTTTTTTTGTTCAAATGAACTCTGTGAATTGTTGTCACATAATAATCAAACAGTTGCATCAATTTTTTTTTACATTTAGGTCGGCAAGTACAGGGCACGGGAATTACGATTGACAGCTCAGGTAAGAAATTTGATTTAGTGATGCAACCATTGAACAGATTGAAACTGATTCTAGATTAGGAATGCTTTCATTTAAAGTTCAGCTCAATATCCCTTTCTCTTTAAACCAATAAATTTGAATTGACTCAAAGTCAACCATGAACCATGACCATGAAACCATGAAAGTTACAGTAATCTTGGCTATGGCTGATTTCTTTTGGTTTATTGGTCTACTAATCAGGAAAAATTCTCATTAGCGACTTTTCCCTTTAAACGAATAAGAGCTTATTAGCACAAATCTTATTCTTTTCAGATTTTTGCCGTTTTGATTGTTTGCACAATTTGCTACGTGATGTGGTACAAATTTCTCGACGCGGTGAGTAGAAATTAAAGAGTTTTTAAGTTTCTAACTGAGCTCTATTCAATTCTTAATTAAAATTTCCCTTTTTTTCCTTCCTTGTTAATTTTAAACCAAAAAGACCAATGTTTTTGTAAAGTAAAAATGTTTTTTAAAGAAAATTAGGACCACACGGGACTCTTTTGGGACCACACGAAAACAGCCACCCACAGGGGAGCTTGAAAATTAAACAAAAACTTTTACAATGTAAAACACTAATTTTAGTGCAAATGTCATCTCTATAAGATTCTTGGTACTTTCTTGCAAAATAGATACTGATCTTGGATCAGTATCAGATCTGGATCAGTATCAGATCCGAACCGATTGGATCAGTATCAGATCAAATCCCCTATTTTCAGATCCGAACCGATGATCAACAATTCAAGCGTTTCATCTCAGATATGGTCTTTGTTTTGTACAATGGAATGAATCCACTCATTTATTTCCTTTTTCACAAGTAAGCTCAATTTTTAAATTTGAGAAACAGTTTGTTTCAGAGATATTCGGAGGAACATGAAAAATCTGATGACATTTCAATTCGCAAGAGATCCCACAGCTGTTAGGTCCACTTTTGTAGGTTTTCAAGCTATGATTTGAAATGAAGTAATAAGTATGACTTAGATAGATAAATTTAGACTCAATACTTTATTGTTAACTCAAGAGTTACTTAAAAGCTTTAGTTGACTGTGAAATTTTCCTTTCTAGATGCCAACAATCGGCCTTGAAGCCTCAAGCACGAGCACTTCCAATCCTCGACAAAGAGTTTCCGTTTTCTATAACAGATAAATTTCTATTTTCTTTACTTTGTGTTACTCTATCCATCAAATCACAGATAATTTCGAAATCATTTAGATGTATTCGATGAGAAAAGAGCCATTTTTCTTTTTCATTACCAAAGACGCCATTCATTCACCAAATGAAATTGGCAATTCTTTTTAAAATTAATTTTTTGCTGCTATTTTTATTCAAGGATGTTCTTTCATTAACGATTCGTTGCATCTAAACATTTAAGCATAGCTGTTGTTAGCTTTGGTGGAATGTTCCCTCACAACCATACAAGAACACGACTCACTCGTCGAATCGTTCACAACAAATATCAAACTTATAGGAAAAGAAGCTGATAGGTTAGACTATTCTGCGTACTTCAATCAGTTAACTGTACAATTGTGTATCTCGATAAAAGGCTTTTCGGTCTATGGCCACAATTACAGAATCTGATAATTGGAGGAATACCACAAGTTCATTTTTTTTTTCTTTTACAAACCTTTAATGCCTATTTTTGGAAAGGAAATCTTAAAGCTCATCTACAAAAAGTTAAAAACAATCTCGATTCATATGCCAAATCAAGATTATGCTTGGCTTTTGGTGATTTTAAATGATTAAGTTATTTGAGAAGATTGTCAGCTTTGAAACATTGGGTGCCTTCATTTGACTTAGATTTGCATTCTTATCAAAAAGAAGCGATTCGATTGATTGAACAAAAGTATCCATTATGGTCGAAAGAGATTCTGTTAAATGCTAAAGAAGCTTTTGAGAGAGGGTGAGGGTTTTTACTCGAAATTTATTGTCATTCCATGCAGTTTCGCATGCAAAAGTCTTTATTTTTGTGTTTTAGACAATTCCTTTCATCAACAATTGAAGCAATTCGACAATTGCGCCCAAAAACTCTGATTGGTCTCTATGAATATCCACTTTTCACAAGAAAACGTTCAATCTATACACTAAAAAAAGCAAATGATCGGTTAGTTAAAGAAATTTTCTACTTTAAGAATCAAATCTAGAGAGGCCAAAAGGGAAGGATTGCTCCGAAAAAGTATAATGAAAGTGTTTATTTAAAGCAAGATTATATTGCTACTCTTCTGCTTTACGTTGAAGTACAATTTTTGATCTTAAACTCAAAGCTGAATGCCTTGTCATGCACACTTTGCAAAAGAATCTAGTCTGCTTATCAATTGCTGGCTTTTATCTTTACGTTCAGCTATTTACACTTGGAAAATTTGCGAAAAAAACATTGACTTTTCTCAGAATCTTCGAAAAATGCTTTTAAATCTTTTAAAATCTTTTTTAAAATCTTATTATTAGTCAATTTTATATCTGCACTTTCACCTTTATCAAAAAAGTTATTCCAATTCGTTTTAAGATAAAGATGGAAATTCTCGAGTATGTGCACGCTCTCTGGGGATCATTTCAGCTCTTCCTTTCCGATTTGATCGCTTTCGTTTGGCATTTTTCGTTTTTCATTTGGAATATTCGAAAGGAGAAAAAAGTTTGTGAACGTTTATATAATTTACAATAAAATTACAACAAAATCTTCTAGATTGTCTCTCCAATCACAAACGATCTCTTGTTGAAAAGTGCCACCGATTTGGCTAAAGAGATTCGAGAGAAAAAGGTTTACTTTGATCAACTGGTTGTGAATTAACAATCGATAGTAGCACTAGCCACCTTCACTTATAGTTAATACTCAAATTGCTCAGTTTTCTCTATCGATTTCAGGTAACTTCGAAGCAAGTCATCCAAGCATATGTTGATCGTTTGAAAGAGGTAAATTGCGGAGTTAGGCTATACTTTGTCTTGATCTAACTAGGGAATCTCTTGAATGTCAGTCAGGAGATGTCAGAAGCGATCTAATTCCGAGGTGATTCCTGGTTAAGAGCATCTCGAAACTGCTTTCAAATCCTACTTATCAGAGGCCATTTTTGAGATATAAGCATTCAAAATTTCGGCAAATTTTGCCAAACAGCAGCCTAGTTAACGTGTTCACGAGGCCCGTTTGCTATGTCCCGGTGGCCTAGTGGGTAGTGTATTAGGCCCGTCAGATACTCTGGTCCCTGGTTCGGATCCGCGCTCCTTTTTTTCAAATACGCGACTGTTTTTCTTTTAGAAAAACACTCGAAAATGACCTTGAGCACTCAATCAAACAACAAAGTTTCAGGTGAATCCAATTCTCAACGCGGTTGCTGAAGACTACTCCAACAAGGCGCTGAAACAAGCTGAAGAGGTTGATAGGCAAATCATGAATGCATCGAAAGAGGAAATGGAAAAGGTTTACTCAAAAAAATGGCAACATTTAGAGAATGCATTTGATTTAGCTAGCGGAAGAGAAACCTCTTCTCGGCGTTCCGTTCACTTGCAAAGATATGTGTGAGATTGAAGGTTTGCTTTTGTTAGGATTTAGGAGAAATTCGTTTTAGGCACCATAACGACTTTTGGTGCATGGAGTATGAGAAATCACGTGAGCGAAAGAACCGATGCGATGACACAAATGTTTGTTTTCATTTACAGTAGCTCTTATTACAGTACAAATTGCTGACACTATTCATTTCCAGTTATCTGAGCGCTGGTGCAATTTGTCTAGCAAAAACGACAGTCCCTGAAATGTGTATGTGGCTGGGATCAAATAATTCAATCCATGGAGTTACCAATAATCCGTATGATTCAAGGTTTGTTCTATGAAAATGGCACAAACTTCAAGCAATAAGTAAGGTTTTAAAATGTCGACTTTCAGAAGAAATTGTGGTGGTTCAAGTGGTGGAGAAGGTGCATTGCTTGGAGCTGGAGCTAGTGTCGTGAGTTCAATTCATGAATTTGTTATTTTTCAACGAAAGTTTAACAGCTTAATAGAGATGGAAATGGGGTTAGCTAGCTCAAATTATCGAGTGATTATGGAAAAAAGAGTGTAAAAATAGTTTTAGATCGGATTGGGAAGTGATATTGGTGGAAGTATACGAGTCCCAGCTGCTTTCAACGGAATTTATGGCTTAAAGACGAGTCCTGGTAAGCAAATCGGATTCGAATCAAAGAATCTTGCGTTTGAAAGATTCCAGTGCAAATTTAGGAGGTTTCCCATCTGATGGTGGCTTTGGAAATCCGGCCGAGAAACTCTTTGGAGTTTTTGGACCGATGGGACGTTATGTTGAAGATTTGGAGACTGTTCTAAAGGTTTAACATTGCTTGATAGCTAATTGAAAATAGCTAAAACTTGCACAATTCTTTACAGCCTTTTTTTAGTCTTCCTTACAGCCAGAAAACAAAAAACGATCAGCCTTTTTAGAGCTACAAGGATACAACGGCTCAGAGTGCTTCTAACTTCTCTGTAAAAGAAATCCTCATCCCGTCCGAGTACTCAATCCCTTGGATTCCAAGAATTAGTGTGGAATTGAGTGAAGCAAACCAAAAAGTCGTGTTTTACAACTATTAATTCACTAGATATAATTTAGGTAACAGATTTCTTGGTAAAAGAATACGGTGTCCCGTTTGCTGGAAGCATCGACTTCACTCCCGTGAGAAAAAACTTCATGGACAAATTCCTTGGCGTTTTCAACAATCATGGAATTCGAAACAAGATTCCACAAGGGACAATGAAGGGAATGTTTATGATGTCTGATGTAAGTGAAAAGAAAATCACGAAATTCTTTTCATTTTCCATCTTCAGGGCCCTTTCAACACTTTGACCGAGCTTCCAAAATGGCTTCTTGGAAAATCTCATCACACTCTTGCCTCTTGTCTTCAAATCACGCAATTCGATGTCTCGTACACTGAAGGGCAACTTGATGAGGCAAAACTAGACAATAATTGCTATAAATCATCAAATCATTTCAGCATTTGAAAGCTCTTGACGATTTCCGTGCCCATTATGACAGATTAATCTCAAATGACACAATAATCATCCAGCCTGGATGGCCAAATGTAGCTGATTATCATCATGCCGAACTTTGTCATCTCAATTTTGCCTATAGTGGTTAGTGGTCTTTAAAAATCACTAATTTAGTCTAATTCGATCATCTTTAAACGCTCTTTGAGGGAAACCGGGAAACGAGAAACGCATATGATCTTGTTTTTCAATAACATCAAGAGAACATTGTCTAGACTAGCAATTCTATTTGTTTTTCTATAACATTTTAAGTTCTCCAACATTTTAATCTCTGATTCTATTTTGGTAATTCAATTGTTGTCTAAGATTGCATTAGGAGCGAAAGTGTCAACAGGTT